CGGCCGTGGCAATACAGACAACACATTTATTTTCTTTGTTGGCAATGAACTCAAACAGCTGTTAAACAGTGTGTCCACCAGACCAACCAGAAAAAAATGTAATTTCAGGTAGGCTAGTTCAGGTCGTACTTTTCATATCACTTTCCAATGCTTTTTTGAGCCAACTCCCCCAATGCTGTTTTAGCACTGACAGTTAGTTAGTTCCCTATTTTATTTATAAAAAAAAAAAACTTACTCAGTCAAAGGGGAAAATAGTAACATGACACAAGTATGAATTTAAAAAATACTACTCTTATTAAATAATCAGCAAATTAAAAACTACTAGTGTACCTGTTGCTCAAAATCAAGCAATTGTCAAGTACCGGTAATATACTGGAGTTATTTTAAAACTACAGTGATAACAGTCATAATAATCGATGAGTTTAAAAGACTCAAATAAAAGCTTATGTAACTAATGGAAATACTCAGGCTGTTAATAACAGTTTGATGGAATAAATACTTCTTGCAAATATTTATAGTTTTTTAGAAGCTGGCCTTGTTTTTTAGTGTTTCTACACATGTCTCCGGACTTACTCATCGCTTACGTCATCAGAAAACTTTATTGTGATAAAATGTAATCCATTACATGGATTTTTTTAATTCCATAAGTAAGTTGCATAGCAGAACTGGCAAATATTATTCATCCCTCCAAATACTGTATGTGAGTATCTGGATTCCTTAAAAATTTACTGTTCGCCTCCTTTCTTCTGCTTCTCACGCATAAGATCTCTTAGTAATTGTCTCCTCCTGTTTCAACATTTCTTCTCAATATTTATTCTACTCGAGGCATTTTCTGTTCTTCAACAAAACTGATTAACTGTTTACATTGGTCTACAACCTCCTGAGTATTACTATATCAATATTTACTCCCAAAATAGCTGCTGAGGTAATTTTTACAAACAGCAGTTTTTTTATAATTTGTTCTATGTAATTTTTATGGGAGATGTTGATTTTTATCTCTATTTTGACCACAGGAATCACTACGTAAATTATGTCCCCACCTTTTTTGAACACGCTGTATATATACTAATGTATTTGTTAAACCTGCAATTTATCAATAACTCATAAAAAACAATGATGTGTCGATACCAAAATTTATCGATTCAGTGATGTGTCGATACAGAAATTTATCGATTCTCCGTACAGATACATGAAAAAAACAATACTAAATGCCGATACCATTTATTCTTAACTTTACCGATTTCTTTTGTGTGGATTACTACACAAACTACTATCTTTATGTACTTCCACAAATTATATAATTTTCGAGTTATATGGGTTATCAAGTGAACTACGGATATAATTAATGCAGCAATTAAAAAGTTAAAATAGCCAATGTTAAAGCCCGTCTAAACACATTAAATAAATACGTATCAAAAACATACATTACATATTAAAGGTGAATTAAAATCATTATCCCGCGGCCGTGGGGACATCATCATCGTCTCCCGCGTTCTCGGCGGAAACGTCACCGTCGTTTGCGCGATCGCGGTAAATAGAAAACTCCCAGTTGAAATAGAAAGTTCACGCATAACTGCCGGTTTTCCCCGGTTCAAAAAAAATCAAGCATAATGTTGTTTTCCAGGTCGGTGGAAAACTAGTTAAATCAACATTCAAACGTTGAAAGCTTACTTTGTGAATTATTAATTGAGAATCCTATGATCATCTATGCTAATGTAAACCTCATTTATCGAATTTCCTATTAGGGAATAAGCTATTACCATAGTTATCATGGTCCCGGGGCAGATTTACTTTATTGTGTTGGCTCTTTTTGTCTTAAACTGGTACATCAGCTAGTGATAAAAGACTGTTAAAAAAACACTAAAATGTTAATATAAAACTTAAACAACTAATTAAACTTTCAAATTTCTGTTTGCAAACTGGGTTTCGCAGCTTAAAAATTATAACAAAGCCCATTGGTTATGCAAAAGTTGGATACAAAGTATAGAATTCTTGTTTCTAGACCGAGGAAAAGTTTCAATTAAAAGTTCTACCGCCTCTTGCATGTTATATTGTAACTGTAGAATTTATTACCTTGGCTCCCTGTAACTTATCTTGTTGGTTGAATCACTCTTTTAAACTAACCACAATCAGTTCTGCAATTTTCAAAATAAAACATTTCTCGCTTATTAGAATTTTTCTACACAATTTTGATATAGGCTAATTATTTAAATCTAAAGTTCCACAAGAAATTTGTAGTCATAAAGCAGTTCTTTTCACAATGTTTGGTAAAATATTACATGTAAGAAAAGAAAATCAACGAATATTGTAATTTTATATTTCGCCTTTTACTGAAAAATGTTGTTACTGGTATGACATTACAAGTGATCGGGTTATTAAAATCAATACATATATTACAAATATTTTGATTTAAGTTCTTAAATCACGAAAACTTGAATTGAATTCTCAACTATATAAAACTAGGGGTTGGCGTGGCGTATAGGCTAAATATAAAATGATTATTGCAATTTTACTCTAGCTTTGCGTTTGCAATGGGGGAGGATAAGGCTTGAGAGAATTTGGTTCGTTATATTTACGGTATGCTATAGTATTACAGATATAGTATATATAGTATAGTATTACAAATCTACCAAAGCCATTCTGTTCTACCACTGTACCTAAGAAAAAAAAGTAAATTATCAAACATTTACACAATATCACAAATTATGTATTAAATTAAAAACATAAACATTACTGTAAACAATCCTACTTTAACAGTTCTCATTGTGTATCACAGCTTATTGATGCTGCGTACTATTAGCTGTTATCATAATTGCAAAAATACAAATATAAATCGTGATTTACGTTCTTAAATCACGAAAAATTGAATTGATTTATCAACTATATAAAATGTTTATCACCTGAATTTCAATTAGAGTTGTCAATAAGCTGAGCCGACGAAGAATGAACAAGAAGACAAAAGCTCTTTCCTAAATCTGCTGACCTTTGAATGACGGTCACCACCACCCTCTACTTTGAATCTTATTTCTAACCTCACATTTAAGTAAATTATGTTTCAATAATTCCAGCCTGTCTTGAGAAGAAATGGGACTGAAATGATAACTAATAATGTAACCATTTTTGGTTGTATTAAAGGGTTTGGGGTATGTACGGGGGATGAATTAGTTAAAATATTACACATACAACAAGTTTGGGTATAGGTAATTGGGAAATAATAACTGGTTAATTAAACCATTGACTATACACAGAATGGTAAAACGTTTGTTGGAAAAAATCTACAAAAACATTTTACAAACAACTGATTTACAGTAATATTGTAACTGATATTACATTATGCTTTTGTTCATTTAGGCATTCTTTAGTCAACGGCATTTATTAGGTTTGAATTGGTTTATATTTTTCCAGGTTTTTAAGCTGTTAAATAGACGTATACACTAAAATAATTGGCTGCTTCCGTTCTTTTCATATTATCATAGATAAAACATACTCCCTTGGTTAGTCTATGATATTATTTAATTGTAAACATTAAGACTTTGGATGTTCTATAGTTTTGTTTTGCAGTCTGCCTTAATGTCTTATGGTAACACAGATTGTTTTGTTGCAATGTCACGGTAAAATAGGAGAAAGAGGCAACTGTTAAGGTTAATGACTGTTTAATTTATGTTTTTAAACGTATATAATGCTAATTATTGCTGAAACTGAAATGGTTAAAATGGTATTATGAAGGTTTCGTCATTAAAACAAACCTAATCAATAATTTTAGTATTTGAAATCTAGGTTAAAAACCAACATTTATTCAAAATTTGCTCAGGACTTAAAGCGGTCGAGATGACTAAGATTCCCGGGTCTGAAAGGGTTATGACTTTCCTATGTTTCCGTAGTTTGCAAATCGGCTCTTTCGTTTCAATTATTTCTCAAGAAATGCAGCACAGTATTAATTTAGTTTTCTTTTTAGTATATCAAATTGTCAGGCTTTCTCGCATTTTCCATTGCAATATTTACGCCGACCCAAATTCAAATCGTTTTAATTTCAACCAAGTCAGTAAATATTTGTAGCACACGTTTCCTTAGATTGAACTAATATTAACAGCAATTAAATTATCCAGCTGATCATAATGTAAACAATTATGTTCTTCATAAGGATAACATAGGAACTTTGAAAGCCACTGGGATAGAGCCCAAGGAACTTTTCAGAAATGTAAGGTCAGTTTGCAAATCTACACACCTAGACGAACATTTTGGTATATAATATGTGGGGTTAAATCTTAAAACAAAAAAGCCTTATTGTTCACAAAGTTTTATGTAGCGTATTAATAATATAGATGGATAGATAGATAGGTAGTTCAGCAATAATCAAAAGTCAGTTTACAAGCCAATAACTCATAGAGTTTATTAGTCCTATATCGTCAATAATATTACAAAGGCGAATAGTTCTTAAAATCTGACATAACCTTGAGGGAACTAAAGGTTAGTACATTTTGAATTACTACAAAACAATAATTAAACAACCGATATATAAATACTGTATATCTACTTTTGAAAAATATTTGTTTTCCATCATTAATAATGACCTAACATCACAGAAAACATACTGCTTAGTGTGTTTTCTGTGCTAACATTGAATGACTCCAGCTAAGTCATGACCTATCTCACAACAGAATCCATTGATTTCACCAAACTTTTGTACGATTTATATGATTAACTGTGTTTTATTCTTTGATTCATACTAACATATTGTGTAGGCTAAGAATATATAAAATATAACAAATAATAATATAAAAGGGAAAGGATGTTTAGTTAACATATTATGCTTTATTTAATAGGCTTTAAGGGATCAACTTTCAGATAATAGTACTTAATTTTAATACTGTAATAATGAATGTTCTTCGGTGAAATAAGTATATCTCTAATATAAATTTAGACTGTACATAATAATACAACAACAAAATACAAAATTCTTAATGCACAAAATGTGGACTACACTTTTCATGACAACTCACCTGTCTCTCCGAAAGCGTCGCCATCCCAGTCCAAAATCGGGTGTTAAAAAGTTAAAAAACGTTTGACGACACTCACTCTGTAAGACATCCCTCCCGACCGACTCCCCGGGTAGCCAGGCCACCAATGCTACCTTGACATGCGAACTGAGAACTGTCAAAGGATCAATATTCCATACACAAGTGGAGCTATCTGGAGGAGGCGTCGCGAACTACCAAACACACCTGGTTCTCGCCGCGACGACGTCGACGCCGGAAGCTAAATTTATCCCGCGAAACTAGAATAGCTGACGTTTCGTCGGTCGCACGTATTTCATTGTTACTGGGAGTTTTTCATTCGAATTTTTGTATCAGGTATTTATAGGCTACCAGCAACTTAACCTAAAAGTCGCAAGCCATAACCTAAAACTCGGAAGGTTAATTTTGATAAGTAATAGAAAATTGGAGTTATTACTTTCAGTTTTGTTATAAATACTACAAAACTTCATGAGTGAAGAGGTGTGTCAGTTGTAGGCGTAGTAGGCATCTATAGATAAAACCCAACACAAAAGGGGACCAAAAGTCGCACACGGGTTATCACACTTCGTAGCTGTCTTACCTGTTTTACTAAGGGGAGGAGGGTCTGTTCTATACTTTTGGTCTTAATTTCTAGGCTGTTTTGGTCCTGAAGGGCTAGCGTGGCCGCGGCCATGTTGACGCGACTAGAGCGCCGCGCGTTCTGGCGGAGATATAATTAACCCTCAAAACTGATAAGCGAGGCAAACTTTGGAATGGTGAAGGGTGGAGGGGATGTATCGATTGTCATTAGAGTTTGGCACTTCACGGTTAGCTTGAGGTAGGGTCGGTGTTTGGGGTTTGTTTACCAAGATTTGTAATGTCACATGTGAGACTGTGTGATTGTTACATGTTTTTTGTTTGGGCTGTTTTATTTTAAATTGTTAGATGTATTCATTGGACAAATTAAAATATATTTTGAAGATATATTACCATACAAAAAAATATTAATATTTTCTAATTTTTGTAGGTAATTATTGCCATCAAATTAAAAGTAAGGTCAAACTAAAAAATTATGTTTTTGGCATTAAGATATTGTTTTTTTTATTGAGGGATTTTTAATTTTTATTTTATTTTACAAGTTGATATTTATCTGCAAATAAAACTATAACCAATATTGGAAGTTTTGTTATTGTATTTCAGCCCTGTTCATTCATTGTTAGAGTGAGCATGGGTCTACTTTTGATCACAAAGTTTCTATTTGTAACTAATGGTTAAATTTGCTGACTTTATTGAAATTATCGAAATATCTGTCTGGTTTGAGGATACCGTTAATATTATAGACAATCTTAAAAGTAACTTTAAAAGCAAAGCATTGTTTATCTGTTATTATAGATTAAATCTATGTTTTGCCTTTACACATTATTAAATCATCCATCCGGTAGCTGAGATAAGTTGTGAAATTGTTTATTTTATACCTGGAAGGTTTCTATCCACTCCCTGTCCTAAATACCTACCTTAATTAAGGCCCACCATTGTTTTTCTAAGATTTAAAAACTTTCGACTCCAAAGGCATAGGTTATAGCAAACCATAACCGCAGGTACAAGTTACAAGTTCAATACAAATAATTATACATAAAGGGGTTAAAATACAAAAAAAAATATATATATTAAACAGTGACAGGGTTTTCTTATTTCACGATTCTGAATCAACCACTTGGCGAATTATCTTGATTTTTGTATTGATAGAAAGATAATTTTGAAAGTAAGAGAATGTCGAAGGATAAAAATGTTTTATGGGGTAAAAACTTGTTTTTTTCCAATTTTGCCCCTCAAAATGTAAATATAAACCATAAAATACACAGTTTTCCACTTTTAAGGTTTGCCACCATTTTGGAAAATGGCCGCCATTTTTTAAATAATAGAATTAATATTTTTAACAAATTTTATGATCTTTTTGGAACGTGGATGCAATTTTAAGACTTATTTGACTTATTTACTCTTCGCATTTTCGCTATAAACCTACTTTTTTAGGAGCTACGTTATGTAAAATGTACACCGGAAGTCATTTTTCCATAGGCTGTAACTCCTAGACGAGTGGGTTTATCGAAAAAATGTCAAGAATAAAAAAGTTTTTAAATTGCATGTTCTATCTGAAAACATGATCAAATATAGGGTGTTCCATAAGAAATTTCAAAGTTGACCGCCATATTGGAAAATGGCGGCCATTTACAAAAATTGTATTTAATTATTTTTGAGCCTCTTTAAAAACAAGGGAATCTTCCCCATTTAAAGTTTGCTGTAAAATCATTAGTTACTGAGATCCCAATGGTGGCACACTTAAAAAAAATCACCCTGTATAGAGGAAATCTATTTGAAAGATATACGACTTGTCAAGAAAAGAAGTAAAAGATTGAGAATGTTCACTAAAGATGTAAAACGTGTGAGACGATGCAAGGCTTCCCTAGGTCAAGCCCAGATACACTGTCAGCGATAAGTATTATGGGCAGCTCAGGGAAATATAGCTGAGGTGGACACTTTAAATTAAAGGAAAAAACTTAAACTGTGTCCCGGACAAAGTTAACTTATTGGTGCATAAATATTATGAATCAAATAACCTACACTTTTGAATTGTTATTAATTATTGAGCGTAGTGAGCGAAGCTCTTATACTACACTCCTGCTTTTGTTTTACAAATTCTCCTCCTAAACAACTGAAGCTATTCACAAAAAATTAGCACAGTCATAGTACCCAAATATGGGAAGGTATCTAAAATGGTACAGATCGGACTACAGGGCTTTTCTCTACGTGAATTTAACTTTTAGAAATTTAACTATTATGGTAGGTAGCACAAATCTTGGTATTGTGAACCTCAGCTGTTATAACCACACCAGTCACCAATGTTATTATAATTATGCTATCATAGGCAGAGCAATGTTTTTTTGGTTTTACAGCTAGGGAAGAATTTTGAAAGGCCAGCTCCACAATGATTCAGATGAATAAAGAAACACGTAAAAACCTGTGTTCTCAGTAGACACCTGATTTCTGCAAGCTTGGAGGTTTTTAAGAATCAGTTAATCGGGACAACCCTTTTACGGATTGGAAATTTTTTACTTTTGTTCCCTATTTTTTTGGTCAAAAGTTTCAAGTTTGAGTTTTGGGTGAATACATCAATTTTGGGCCTCCTGAGCCCAAATAAATGGTTTTTGGAGTAGTCTGTGTGTGGCCCATACACACAGACTACTCCAAAATCCATTTATTTGGGCTAGGTGTGGGTGTTCCGATTTTGTTGAAATTTTGTATGTGGGTACTAATCCGTGGGTATCTCCAATCAATTGTTTTATGAAATTTAAATTTTTAGGATGGACTGAACTTTTCATCTCTGCTACTAAGTATTGAATATGAAAACTTGAAGTAGGTTAATTATGATGATGTATTTAGTATTGTAATTTTTATTGTTTTAAAACTTTGGAGACAACCAACCTGCCCTCATTAGACCAAACTGCTGTTCTCAGATCTTCAAACTTATGACTAAAGATCAATAGCTCAATAAATAAAACATGCAAAATTGCTAACAAATGGTTTATTTATTGCAATATACAATAGTTTATCAATTGTCTTTCTAAAAATATATTACAAACATGTTTTACATTAGATGCAAGTTGAGACATATTTATTCACACAAAATATCAGTTAAAACCAACAAGATTAACTTGGAAAAAACCGAAATGTTTTAAAATACAGAGGTAATAAATGGATTTTAATAGTACACAAATTAGTTAAAAGTTTATTGATTTCGGCAAAGATTCCCGTTAAAAATTCACCCAAGTGCAAAGTTAAAATTTTAAAACTAGCATGAATACTTGACAAGATTTACAAAACAAGGTACGAATCCTATATAAAACAGAGTCAACAATGAATGCATCAGGGAAGACGATAAAGGAACTTTACAACAGTTAAAACGAGACTTGTCACATAATATCTAAGCATACCGTTCATATAACTAAATAGCTCTCACAGTGACAATAAAAGTCATGGGAAACAACCGTTGAATCAGAAAGCAAATGAGATTTTTTCAATATATTAATTGACATATCACTTATAGACTAATGATTGGATTTGAGTGGAAAATAATTTGTACTGTGAAGTGGATTGAATGGAATTATTTCATGTGGGTAACTCAATGCTAAAAACGATACTAAAGAGAAAAAAATCATATCATATTATCCCAATCAATCTTAAAGTGGAAAACCCTTAACCCATGAACTTAGGTTAAACTTGGGTTATTGCCAGAATGCGCAAATCTCATGCATAATCATCTTACGCAGTTAAATTAGAATAACTTTCATACTGATAGACTTTTAGAAAAAAAATGCAAATTGAACTTACATAGTTAAAATGCTTACGCTTATGTTGTGGATATATAATGTTTTAACATAATAATAATTTATCTATGAGTAATCAACTATGTATACAAATATTTAAGTTTGATTATAAAAACTATGGCACATTAACTATAAACACCAAAGAAAATATTTCAAAATAAATTTGAAATAACTTAAACAATTTATTAACTATTAGAATTTGAATAACAAATTGTAATACCACATTTGTTATAAAACATATAAAGAATAGTAACGATAAGATCTAAGTAACTATTGAGCTGATTTTCAAGACAGAAATATAAAGATAAACTAAATTTTTCAGAACTCTAAAGCTGGGTTTTCCTAGGCGCGGAAGCGGAGAGCGGAGAGAGGAACGCAGAGAGCGGAAAAAAGATTAACATGGTGTTCCGCTCCGCTTCTAGGAAAACATTAACATTAAATTACCTAAGACAAGAGGAGTCCGCTCTCCGCGTTCCTCTCTCCGCTCTCCATTTAAGCGCCTAGGAAAACCTGGCTTTAGCACTATGCTCCAGATTCATATAAGGAATATATCTACATAATTCTTAAGGTCTGTTCATTAAGGTAAAACAGCATTCAATCATACAAAAATAAAAGCTGATGAAACAGAAACAAAATACTGGACGGTAGCGAGAACTGATGTAATTACGACACATTTTCAAAACGTCTGCACTGGCTAGAATGTTGGAACAGTAACAAAATCTGTACTAAAAGTTTTATGAAGAACTATTAAACAAGATGTTAAACCAATATTTTGAGCAACTGTCCTACTACTACATAGAATATGTCCAAGTTTCAATTAGGTTACAACTTTTTAAACCTAGTTTTACAACCAATGTTAAAATAGGAAATAGGTGGATAAAATAGGAAATGAATTTAATCTGTCCCAAATAAAAACATTTCACAAAATTCTACTTGATTGATTTTTTGTAAAATCTTTTTAGTACCTATTTGAATTGCATATTTCATACACAACCACTTCAGTCACTTTATTACTTTAGAAAACTTCAATTTAATACTTATTGCTTGAATTGCAGCATCATGAACATTATTATACTACTGAAATGCTTAAATAAATCCAATAAATTAAGTACTGTACAAGAAGTGTTTCTTAAACTAATAACATGTTAATATCAGAGGTATTTCAGAGTCCAAGACTGAAACATGGATTTACTAAACCAAGAACATATAACTTAGCATATATATTTAAACACAATTAACATATAATAGCATTCCTTACATTTCTAATGTCATTTATTGATCTATAATATCCCATTTCAATGACATGGATAGTCTGTCTTCAATTATCAAACTACAAGTCAAATAAGCATTACTTTTACATAGCCAGCCCATAGGCTTATTACCGACCAAATTTAACAAAACTATAAAAATGCTTTCATAAGAAGGCAAAACATGTTCAATTAAATTTGTACAAGTTACCAAATCATTTTTGGAAACTTTTGGGAAGATGAGAAACAATATTGACTCGAAATTCTCAGTAAATCAGCACTTGAATCTGTTTAAAGAATAAAATAATATAACTACACCAGAGTAATATCTTGTACATCTATTAACTGACAATACAACCTAGTTTTGATTAAACTAACATATATTAAAATCTCAATTATATATTACTCTATCATATTAAACCCAAAGTGATAAAAAGATTTATCTTTGACACAAAAGTTAAAATATGGAATGCAAGTGATCGATGGTAAGCTATCTGAACAGTAGATTATTTGCATACTGTACTGAACTGTTGATTAGTCTAGTAAACTAGCAAATTATGTTATTTACATAAAAAGTCCATCAGATTCAGGGAAACGCAATAGTAAAGTGTCACTAACAAGGTTGCTACAAAAATTGGAATCATGTGAAAGGTCTGATAAAAATGTTGCAATTAAAACCGTTCTTGAAGTAACACATAGTGGGTTCAGATTTACCATTTTTGTATGTTTAACCAGACTATGTTATTAACCCTTACCACGCTAGACAAATATACTCGCTGAAATTCCCTTTGTTCAAAACGCTATGGACGACTATACTCGCCTTTTAAAACAGAGTGCTTTGTGTGGTCTTGTTAGTTCCCAGTTATGCCGATAGAGTGCAGCAACTATTTGGGAACATCTCTCGTGATGGAAAATCACAATATACAGTGTTCCCCGCCAGTGTAGCGTGCCGCCATTTTGAACAATCGGAGGGCGGGGAACACTGTATATTGTGATTTTCCATCTCTCTGCTCTCTGTGATTTTTGGTCTCTGCTATGAGAGACGCCAGCGCTGTAGACGGACTAACTCGCAAGTGTTTAGTTAACTCGCAGACTTCGAAGGAAACTTTGTTTTCCGCTGCATTCACTATTAAATTGGTTTAATTGTTGTTATATTATTATAATTATAAAAAAAATCAGCTTTGATTTTTGGGAAACAATATTTGTTAGGTATATATAGCATTACGGTCAAGGCCAACCAACATATATGTAGCGTGTTAAGGGTTAATTATTAAAATCACAGTTGTCATACTTAGATTACTGATTCTGAAATTTATAAAGCAGAGTACAGTCAATGTTTGAGACACTTGAATTTACATTACCATACAAAATTAAACATTTTTCAGAGGAGAAAAATCCACATGTAAAATTTAGTTGATAATGCACAATTTCGTTTGACTATTTTGATGAATTTAATTAATTGAAGATCATCTAATTAAGAGAGGTCTCAAATTTTTAAATTTAGAGAATAGTTTTGTAGCATCTCATTTACATTGTGACACAACATGAGTAACATCAAAGTAGCTTACATTAAGTGTAAAATGTTTAACAATATTTCAATATCACAATTTCAACCATTATTCAAGTTTGACAAAACTCAAAATTCCTTTATTGTGGTAAACCTAAAACATTTATAGGCTCTATCAATATATATACACCCCAATCATTTAGTTAAATAAATATCATAATAAACACCATAAAAGATAACCATCTTAAATGCTACGAAACGTGTATTTTTCCTACATATGGTACATATAATAGATACATTGGATGTTTTATGAAAATATGTATTCAAAAAGCACCCTTTTTACACCACGTTAGCACATTACTTAACTGGTAGACACAAAAAAATCCGTTTTACAAATAATTTCACCATTTGATTAAAGGTATGTCAAAAACTGAACCGAAAAAAATCACCCTTGCAGCAAATCTGCTGATCAAATTAATTCCTGGTTAGAATAAACTGACACTTCCGTCCATGTTTAATAAATTACATTTACTGAAGATATCTTAAATGTACTGCCATGACGAGCACACATTTTTTTATTCAATCAAATTTAACAAGCCTGTCCGTATTTTTAAATGAATGTAATACATTTTTAACCATATTGATCACGTTTAATGGGTCATGTTTGTAATTTAAATTTCTTAAACAGGTTTTATACAGGGTGATTTTTAAAAGAGTTCCCCCCCCCTACTTTTTTCTACATTTCTTAAGATATCAACTCCGGACCACGTCAGATCATTGTAGAGTAGTAAGTACTTCATTTTGAATGGGTATAAATTTTTGGCCGCCATCTTGGATCCGCCATATTGGATACAAAGTTTTTTTTTCAAATGTAAAGGTAGGGTTGTGACCCATTATTCCAAAGCAGAATTTTACGCTGATTACAATGCCGCAAATAGTTTTTAAAAATCTTGATCCGTTCTAAAGTTATAAGGACTTTTTATATATTTATTTTTAGCCTATTTTAACGTTGTGCATTTACAAACTAAGACCATAATCTCAAAATAGTGCTAGATAAAGATAAGTATACACTACCATTCATTGTTGACCTATTTTCACTTGGTTATGACGGATGTATTTTTTCGGCCGCCATCTTGGATCCGCCATTTTTAAATGTGACAAATTAATTTAAATATGAAGGTGGTGTTGTGACCCTTCATTTTCAACTACTTTTTTATGCTGAACTCAATACCGCAATCAGTTTTTCATTTGCATGTTTGGTTTTTAAATTATTGAAATTTTAAATAAGATAATTTTAATATTTCATCAAGAAAGCTTGATAACCAAAAATGGATTGCGGCATTGAGTTCAGCATAAAAAAGTAGTTGAAAATGAAGGGTCACAACACCACCTTCATATTTAAATTAATTTGTCACATTTAAAAATGGCGGATCCAAGATGGCGGCCGAAAAAAATACATCCGTCATAACCAAGTGAAAATAGGTCAACAATGAATGGTGGTGTATACTTATCTTTATCTAGCACTATTTTGAGATTATGGTCTTAGTTTGTAAATGCACAACGTTAAAATGGGCTAAAAATAAAGATATAAAAAGTCCTTATAACTTTAGAACGGATCAAGATTTTTTGAAAACTATTTGCGGCATTGTAATCAGCGTAAAATTCTGCTTTGGAATAATGGGTCACAACCCTACCTTTACATTTGAAAAAAAAACTTTGTATCCAATATGGCGGATCCAAGATGGCGGCCAAAAATTTATACCCATTCAAAATGAAGTACTTACTACTCTACAATGATCTGACGTGGTCCGGAGTTGATATCTTAAGAAATTTAGAAAAAAGTAGGGGGGGAACTCATTTAAAACTCACCCTGTATATTGTTAATCCATCAGCCCCTGGGCTCTAATCTTCTCAGGAAAGGTAGTTGAACCCTAGAAACAAGGAACCTAGGGATTCCTTTTTGAAAAATTCCTATCTTGCCAAACGGCTTTCCCTAAAAAACATAACCTCAAGTTTGAACAAACTGTATTTTTGGATTCCAGAGCCCTATAATGAAGTACCCCAATCAGTAATAGCTCATCATACAGTAATAATAGCTTCTTTGCAAAAAGAAAACACAAATATTGCCTTTTCTTTTACAATGCCTCCCTAACACTTCATCCAGGACACCTCACTGATGCAAATAAAGGAAATTTCAACACTTAAGAATAAATAAAGCTTAAAGATTCTTAACATTACCATTTGTTTCGTAACATATTTCGTTTCTCCTCCTGCACACACCAAGTGAGATGTGGAGAGGTATAAAATCGCTCATCGTTGATCGCCACAGTTACGAGACGCTGCAAGACGTCGGCTCAGTGTGAGATGAAGCTGTCGAAGGGGAAGGAGAAGTTCTTCCTTCTCTATCCTCCAATTCCTCCTCCTCCACTTCCGTGTTTGGCTCTGTGATCGTCTCTGAGTGAATACTCGACCCACTTGTCGTCCTGGACCTGGCAACGCCGACAGAACTACGTGGTGAATAGTAATTAGTTTATACTCAAAGTTCGGGTGAGTTAGTATTAGTAATATGAATAAGAAAAGTCCTAGTGAAAAACATAGCTTCTTTATACTTTCCCAATAAAGTAGTCAATCAAGACTTTTAAATTTTTAATCTTTCTTTGAATTTCAGCCAAGAACAATACAAATTCAAGCTTTTTAGGGAGACTGTGTGCAAACAGAGTAAATTTTTCAACATTTATGATATAGGTGAAATTTTGTGATATTACCAATTTCATAATAAAGTATGATGATATATTTAAAATTTAAATCATATATAAACACACTGTTGTCAGATAGAAGAGGTTGGTTTGTTGACTTTACGGATCACAGTTTACAGTAAAAATAAATAAATAAATAGCCCAACTCTCAGCTACCTCTATAAATTAAACTTATCTTGCTCAAAATCTTCTAAAACATTTTACAAAGATCAATAAACAAATAAACATGTTTCATGGTTAAAACAGTAAACCCCTTGGTACTGTAAATAATAATTAAAACATAAACAGTAAGTAAGTAAAATTATCATATTATAAAAATCCATAGGGTTTTGGAGTTATTTGGGACCCAACTGAAAAAGGACTTCATTGGGAGATTGGAGATATCCAGGACCAAATTTAAATAAACGGGGACTTAAGGAGATCAGGGATACCGGGGCCCCATTTGGAACACCGTGGACCTTGTTCGCAGATTGGAGTGTTTCAGGACTAAATAAAAATATCGAGAATTTTATTGGGAGATGAGAAACCCAACTGAAATATTTTGAGACTTTTTAGGAAGATTGGGTATATCCAGGAGTCGTAGAGCGTTGTAAATTAGTACATGAGGCTAAAGGAATTCAATTTGTTTACTTATTGTAGGAAGGAAGATGATTTGTACCTGATGGGTGGGGTGCGAGCCTTGGGCGGGGGTGGGCTGACGGGGGTTGGTGGAGGCTTGGTACTGAGCAGCTTAGACAACACCACTGCCTGGTTGTGTATGGCCATCATGAACGGCTTGTAGCCAAGGCTGAAACATTGTTTTTTAATTATTTTTGTCTCCACACATCAGCCTTTGATTCCCTCTGATCTGAAATAAATAACATATCAACATTTTTCCTAAGGAAACCCTCAAAAGCTGCTAAGGAGAAAACACTGAACTGTAAGAGCAAGAGAAGTTTGGGAAATTTTCGAAGGAACTGACAATCTAATAACTATTTATTTTTATTCTTGAGAAAATCATTTGCTCATTATTAACGTAGTTACAATCAAAATTTAATCCAGGTAATGGCAAATTGAACTAATATATCCATAAGAAGATCCATGGAAGATATCCATTGTGTTTGCCTACCCTCTATTGCTAATTTAAGTTTACTTTAAGGATGTTTTATTTCTTGTTTTGACAACTTCTTGTTATCTGCGTGGCTTTCCGCGATTCTACAGCTTTGGCTGGGTTTGACCGATCTTGTTATGTTTTAGACACTTTCTCACCTGAAGACTGTGAAACGTCATAATAATATGATGGCAAATTCCACAGTAATCAACATCATATGATGTCTCTTACCATTCAGTGTTGCTCCAGTGGTAGAGACACAGTAGTCCTTCCTTGAGCCTGATCACTGCCTCGTATGTGTGTTCTACTGAGCGAGCTGCGTTGGTAGTCCTGCAAATGTTGTAGATCAATTAGAACTTAGAATAAATTAATAATTTTAGCTTTGCTGATCCCATTGAGCTTCAAATATATGTCGGACAAGAGTAACATAACTTAACTTCTACTTCCAACTATCTACGTGAATATAAATTGACAAAATGGCTGAAAAAGACAACCTGACATTGGCTACAACAGATTCTAGATTAGATCTTCTACACTTTGGCTATCAGGTGACAAGTGTTGAACCCAATCAGAAGCCAGGACCATAGAATGACGATTTGTATAAGTGGACAGCTGTAACAATTCAATATTTCCACTTATATTTTTCAATAGAATAATTTAATTTTTACCGTATGTTTTGATTTTGATCAATATGTCAATCCATCTCCCTTTATCAAACCTTGTATAATATATGGCCAAGCAGACCAATAGGTAATCAATTCAATACAATATAATATAGAAAATTTTCAAATAACCTAATTTCATGTAAATATATAATCTATATAATTAATACGCTACACGAAAGTTTGTCGGTTGAACTCCTCCGCCATTTCTTAACCGATTTTATCCATTGACATCTCATTGGAAAGAGCGTGTCACGTAGATTTGCAAACTGACCTTACATTTTTGAAAAAGTCTCTTGGGCTCTGCCCCAGTGGCTTTAAAAGTTCCCATGTTATCCTTATGAAGAACATAATTGTTTACATTTTGATCAGCTGTATAATTTTATTGCTGTTATTTACTTTTCAATTCAATGAAACACATTGAGTACATTTATTTACTATTTGAGTTTGTGTAAACATAACCCCCAAGACGGATCGTGTTAGTATGGTTGTATCTTAAATTTGTGTATTTATCGTTGTTTTGTGTCGCTATGATGGATTGTGTTAGCATGATTGTAACTTAAATTTGTGCATTTATCGTCGTTTTGTGTAGCTATAATTTGTTTATTATTTGTTGTTTATTTCTTTTAAATGTCTCCGACGCAACGACAACGAAACATAGACAGGAGGCGCAATCGTGATAACGACCGCAACTACAGAACAGTGGCGCGTAATAGGCTTAACTCATCAGCTTAACAGTCTCAACATGAACCTGGAAAACTTCAACTATTTGGTTACGAATGCGCCCTTACACATTGGCCCTCTATTAATGACCTGTGTTGCCTGTACAGCGAGGCATTTTGAGAAGGAGAGAACGGTCCGGAATGCTTTAGGTTTATCAATAACGAAGATAAACAGGGTCTGAGTTACACAACGGCAATATTTGAGTTGACTCTTTTAAATTCATTGTAAATATGACTGTTATTCAATCTGAAATAACTCCTGTAATACTTTGTAATTGCTCGAATTCGAGCAACATGTACACTAGTAGCCTATAACTTTTTGTAACAAAATTGCTTCAAATTCAATATAATTTTATTTAAATAACTTTTCAAAATTATAATTTAGCTCTATAGCAAATGAAATTTTTTATAATATATATGTGTAAACAGTGGCTTACAATTTTATGTGATTAAGTCAGCATTGACATATGTGAGTGCAACAATGCATCAGACCTTCATTACTTTCAAGAGAGCTGAGCTAGTATGAAGATGTAAATTGGATACTACTTATTTTAATATCAAAATTTATAAAAAAAGTGTCTATATTTGAACCTAAATTAGTGAAATTGGATTGAAAAAGAACCGTCCTTATTACAAACATTAATAATTAAGTTACAACATCAAGAAATTTTGCTGCGAAGAAGACATCAATTTGGTGAGATCACTCCAATAGACATTTCCCCTTCGGAAGCCATTAAAACATTTTTAGGCCTAACCTTTGGACATTTATACTCAAATCCAAAGTCTAGAAACTAATAGAAGCTTAATATTCAGAACTTTAATTAATTCAACCAATCTATAATTTGAACCTATTTTATATTTCAAACAAAATTTTAATTAGGCTATATAAAATCACAAGATTAAATTCAAATGCAGCTCGATCACCCCACCTGAGATAAAGATCCATGCAATAAATTATAACATTTGAACCTTTAGTACTATTGTAATAGGCTTAGCCTAAAGCTTTCATTATTAAATTCATTCCCCACTCATTGTAAACTTTATTGTGAACCCCTTATTTTCTTTTACCATCAATTTTGTATTTTAATAAAATAAATTTAAGTTTCGATATTGTACCATGGAGTTTCCATTGTATTCTTAACTTTAAGGTTGATTACACAGCTTGGGTGAAAATCTACTGTGGATGGATTCTTTGTGAGTTGCTGCTGCTGACAACACTGGTCAACCAAAATCCTACTGGAACTCGCAGTTAATGTCAGTAACAGCTTTAAGCAATTTTTTATTAGTTATTCAAACATGGTATGATAAGTGGACGTTTGATTATGTTACTCTTGCAGCCGATATGTCAGCCATTGAAGGTCAGGGGATTTAAAACAAAACTACCATAAACTAGTCATAACAATCAAATAACTAGGAGTGACAAAGAAAAGGAACAAATTTACAAGTAGTTATTATTTTTTAAAGCCAAATATTATAAAATCTAAATCATGTTTATATTTGAGAATTTAGATCATATTAGTAATAGTATAACCATAGATAAAACATACTCCTCAAGTAGATTTCCCATCCTTATGGAACAGCTGAAGCCAATTTTATTGTTAGTTCTGTCCAGTGTACTGTAGACGTTGTGTTTTGTTTACAATTTGTTTCTATCATTTTCGGGTTAGTTTCCCATTATTTGCGCCTCACTGTTCGGTTATATAGCTAGGTAGTGGATAAGTTATTGTTTATGATAAGACAGTTTTATTTGGTTAATAAAGGATTTTAAATTACTGAAATAGCAAGAAACAAATTGTAAACACGACTCTACATTACACTGGACAGAACTAACAGTAAAATTGGCTTCAGCTGTTACATAAGGATGGGAAATCTACTAAGGGAATATGTTTTATCTATGGTATAACTAAGGCTTTGTTATTACTTAAGACAGTAAAATATTATATTTTGATTTGACAGGATACAGAGGCAAGCTCAAACTGGCATACCTATGAACAGCCATTGCATCTCGCAACAAGATAGAGATGAGAAGTGACCACTCTAAACACCCTGCTTCCATGAGGATTTGGAGAAGATATCTGGAAAAAACACTCAATTTAGTAACTAAATACATTGTCTTCAGTAGATGCCATTTGAATTTTGTATATTGCGCTGCACAAAACGCAGCACTTTGTTAAATCCCACCAGAAAATAGTATATTTCATCACTAGGGCGTAATGTGACTCTTTTCCACCAAAGCTCAAGCTCAACGGAAAATGAGTGAGGGTTGAAAAGTCACTTTATGTCCCTGTGATTAACGATATTTTCTCTTATTGCAACATTATTTAAGAAACAATAATTTATAAAACTAAAATACTTTTTGTAAAAAAACTTTCACAACCACTGCCTTAAATTTTGCTAATGCAAACAAGCAGCTGTTCAGTAAGTGATTCAATCATTTTATATAGCCTATTACGATTGTGTTAGTGTACATTATACTATCAATATGTAAAACTATTGACAAGAAAGCAAAAATTATCTGTTTTTGCTGCAGTATGACGAAAAGGTTTTTTAAATTCCACTGTTTTAAAATAATTAAATTCATGTACCTTCTGTTGTTCCAATTCCTGGAAAAAATCAAAGGGAAAATTTGAAAAAATTACTAAAAAATTAAAATTATATCTCTATGCATTACATAATCATGAACATTGGTGTGATGAGAAAGAATAGGATAAACAGACTTACCTTAAGAAAAGTAGGCATCCCACTTCATTCACTACAGAACACAGAAGAAAGCACAAAATAAAATAAACACTGGATATTTCGAGGCTACTGGCCCCTTTCTCAACATGGAGAGTCACATTAGATGGAGTCTTTCAGTAGTAAGGAAGCCAAATATCTAGTGAAAGACTCAAAATATCTAATGTGACTCTCCATGTTGAGAAAGGGGCCAGTGGCCTTGAAATATCCAGTGTTTATTTTATTTTCATTTACAGAATGAATGAAGTGGGATGCCTGCATTTCTTAAGGTAAGCCTGCTTATCCTATCCTTTCTCACACCTATTCTCAGGCAATAAGCCCTTTCTCTCTTAACCTAACCTCATAATCATGAATAACTTATCTATATAAATAAAATTAGAGTTTTGTCTGTACATTGCTCAGAATCATAAACTTTTAGGTTATTTTTACGTTTTATACATTAGAGAAACCGAAACAAGTCTCATCTAAATTTCTGTCTGTCTTCCTGTCTGTTACGACCCAAGAGCCATTTTACGCGGCCTACTCCTGAAAAACGAGAGTACCTATCAAGTTCCAAATCATTTTAATGCATTCACTGGATTGGCGAGATTGTCTTTAGCCATTAAAATATGGCGTCACCACTTTGTAAATAAAATGACGGACGTTTAAAAACCCAATTTTGTGCGATTTTTTGTAAAGTTTTCTCCCAATGTTTAGCACATATTCTTCTATGAAATAACGAACAGCTGTTCAAATCAAGATTATTTCTTCTAGCTGTCACTGATATGTTTACATTGAATGTTGTTTACAAATACCGCAACCATTTCCGATCTGTTTTGAAAGCAAATCCAAACCAATTAAGATTAAAAACGTTTTTCCTTACATAACGGATTTAATTAATCGCAAGTGCAATAATATGTAGGGTAACAGTAAATGAAAATAGAGATTCTTTGTGTATAAAATTGTTCTTGAGTTTTGATAACTGGGAAATAGACGTTGAATCAGTGTTGTATATTGCTGGGAAACTTACATTTTTTAAATGAGCGTTTTCAGTCGAGACTCGGCACACGACCGACGCGCGTCTACTTGTCCATAGTAAAAATAAAAGTAGGCCTACTGTGTATTTATGTTTTATTCGTCATGTGTATAAGTGTACAGTTCGTGTATGTGGTTCAAAAATTCCAAGACGCACCTAATGGGGAAGCTCAAGACCTTATATTAGGACTGATGATGGCGATTTAATTTTGCCGAAATGCATCTTCTGTTCGACCAGCGGACACAGGTAATTTAGCCTTTTATTGATTGTCATACCGATCCGGAACAACAACAAACGACATAAAATGAAGTTATGTATAATAAATAGTTTGGCCAGCATATCTGAAAGTATGCAAACCAACTTCTGTTCTTTATATAAGAAGGTTTCAACTGATTACTATAAGATCCCTGTGCGTAGAACGGGTACACAGCTAGTTGTTAAGTATAATTACCGACCTGAGTTGCACTTCAGCCTTGGACGAGCCCTTGTTTGCCGACACCTCTTGTGATATCTGCTCTAGTAGCTGCACACTAGGAATGTCACTCCAACTGTCACTGGTGCACTGTTCCCAGTCCTCTCCACACCACCAGCTCTCACTGTCACTGACAATACTGCGCTCATCTGACAACAACATAGCTAACTTACAGTACAAGTTGTTATTTTAATAACAGTCTTACGAATATGAAAATCTCAACTGTTTTAAAATATTCCACACACAGAGGTATTCCTTCTTTGTGGAAGATATTTCGCTAATTTAAAAAGCTTTTTTATATGTTTATGTTTATATTAAATTTTATATTATTAAAATACCAAACAATATTGTAAACATTTCTGTATGGTACTAACATGATGTAATTTGTAAATATTTTGCCGGAATAAATGCTATTTTTATTTGATTTGATTTGATTTGATATAGTCGTTACACATAGCAGAGGATTATCATGATTTCATTGTGGTCTCAGAAGATTTCCAAATTTAAGCTCCATGATGACGATGTTACACCATATGCAGAATATGATAACAACATTGCCACAATCACAGGAGACGATGACAATTTTACTGTTGCATTCTTGTGTATTGAAAGCTTCTCTATTGTTTGTGGAGACGTATTCAACTTTGTCTGTGATTGTGGTTATGTTAGCCCTTTTGCCAATTCATCACTAGACGAATCTTTGAAAAATATATGATCACCTTTTGTGTCAACATCGTACATTTTGCTGACATTTGTGTTATTGCTGGTTTTGCTACCGTTCATGGATACATCATTAGCTTTGGTGAGATTTATCCTACTAATAATATTATAAATGAGAAAGTTTGGATGTATGGATGGGTGTATGGATGTATGTTTGTGACAAGTGAACGCGAAAAATACTGGTCGGATTGGGCTGAAATTTGGCATGATGATAGCTCACATTCCCGATTAACATATAGGCATATTCTTATTTCAAAAATCCTTTCGGGCTCTGCCCCAGTGGCTCTGGAGTTTCCCATGTTAACCTTATGAGAAATGGAATTATTGAATCTTAACAGCTGTTTCAATTAAACAAGTTGGTTCTGTTCTATGATGTTCAATAGCATTAAAGTTACAAGGATTACCAACAGGGTGCAGCACTATTACAACAGCTAATTTGCAACCAAAAGGTGAGTGAGCGTAGCAAACGAACTTCAACCTGGAGGCGAGTTAGCATAGCGAACGAGCTAACCTGAAGGCAAGTGAGCGCAGCGAACGAGCTCCAACCTAAAGGTGAGTGAGCGTAGCGAACAAACTTCAACCAGGACGTGATTGAGCCATGCGAACGAGATAATCTTGAAAATGAAGAAGTTAAACGGGGCAAAGCCCGCGGGTTACAGCTAGTTAAATCATATCTTCATGGTTCTTTGCGTTGTTGCTAACAGCGATATTGCTAGCTTTAAAAAAATTGGTGGTATTCATAGTTCTTTTGAAAGCATTACGAGCTTTCCAACATTCACAACAACATTGCTAGCTTTGACAATGGTTGCGGTGACAAAGTTTTGTATACGTCTTTGAAAAATTATAAATTTGGAATTTAAGTTTCGAATATAGAGATTTTTGAAATAGTGGGAATTTAGGACAGCATTGCACCATTGTGCTTTTCTTTCCTGAAAACCTTAGTAAATGGTCATTGATCTTGACAATCTTATACAATTTTACCAGCAAGGTGAGGCATGAGTTGAGGGTTGTCAATGGGTCGCACTAGAGGGTCTTGACTCATGTAGCCACTGTCACCCACTCTACTGCCACTCTCTGGCACCTCAACACTGAGGCCCCTCATCCTCTCGTCCAACGTGGGTGTAGACATGGCAGACGACACTGCGACAATGGAACATAGGAAAAATAATACTTTATATACTAAATAAAGTTACAATGCTGCTGTAAGCATAGGATATGGTCTCGATTATACTGTAGCTAAGGGAGATGGCCACGATGTTAAAACTACGACTGTTAAAGAAGGCAAGAATGCTACTGTAACTATGGGAGATGATCACAATGTTACTGTAAGTAATGAAGATGGACTCGATACTACTGTTTTTATGGAAGAAGGCCACGACATTATTGTGACTATTAGAGATGGCCATAATGCTTCTGTGACTATGGGAGATGGCTAAAGTGTTATTGTAACTATAGCAGATGGTCACAGTGTTACTATGACTATGGTCACAGAATTACTATGACTATGGGAGATGGTCATAATGTTACTAGAATTACAAAAGTTTGCCATGATGTTAACATTTTATCGGAGATTTCTACACTGGCATTAAAACTATGTGATTAGGTCAAAATCTTACTGTAACCATAGGAGTTAGTTGTTGTTGGACAGTAATCATTGGAAGCAATTTTGTTGAATCCTGTAACCAATAGATATTATCAATACCCCCGCCGCAGCAAACCTGCCGACTAAGCGAATTTCCATTTGTCTGAATTGATTTTCAGTCAAACATATTTTAATAACATTAGGTTTAACGAGTACCTACAATAGGTTTGCTGCTACAAGGAAACTAATAAAGTGTGTTTTTGAGTAAAATATTGATAGCTTAGTACAAAATAAATAAATTTGCCAAGTTTGATCAAAATATATCCATAAACAAGCAAACTACAACATTTGACAATATTCTCCATAAGAATAACATGGGAATTTTAAATTTACAAGTTTTTTAATTTTCTCCGTTACTAATAATCGAACAAAAATACTTTTATATACTAAATTATTTGTTTTTTTAAGCTCTTTAAAAAGGTTTAAAGAGAAATCGGGAAATTTTGTGTTTTGAGGGTCAAAAGTGAGAAAACCCAATTTTTACCCCATAAAACCCCCCGTAAAGCCCCGTTCCCATGGTCCGATCGTGCTGGTTCGCGAACTCATTCAAGCTTATCCCGCTTTACACCTTTAAACCAAATTTCATCAAAATCGGACAAAAATTACTCAAGTTATCGCGTTCACGGACGTATATATACAGGGTGTTCATTTGAAAACTTTCCATATCTGTTGTGTGCAAAGGTAAGGCTTTTTACACTTGTTTGTTCTCATTTCCACCTAATTTGGACATGCCAAATCCAATAAAATTATTTTCAATTTTGAAAAATGCCCCAAAAGGGCCCAATTTGGGGGGTAGGGGTGCTTTTTGAGACATTTTCAAATGTAAACATGGGTTGTGTGATACATCAATTTAAAGGTCTAATCACCCCGATCATTTTGGTGCAAAAAAAGTTTAATTATCTTTAACCGTATTTACAGGGTGGGTCAGAACGTTTTAAAAAAGGACTTTGAAGTTAAGTACCGTATTACCCTAACTAATGAACGGAACAGCGCCAAATTTCTTTCCAAGCTTATTCTTGAGCTACTCTTAAAGATAACTTGTAGTAAGGGCATTTTCCATGTTATTATCTAATTTAAAAAAAATCTCAAATTTTAAGAATAAAAGAAAGCTGAAAACTCAAAATTCTTAAATAGCAAGGTATAACAAATTTCATACCACGTGAAAGGTCATTTTTTAACAAACATTTTACGTATTTAAGTTTTCTTTCTATCTCTTACCGTTTAAAAATTGCAGTAGAAAAACATAATTTTCTATTGTAAAATTGTAACTAGTTTTCTAATAAAACAGCCAAAATTTGTCTCTAGACACATGTAATGGTGCAACAACTGAAGGAAACAATTCATAATTATTTATAGGCAGATAGACAAACAAGTTATTACGTTTTACTTTGTGAAAAACAAGTTTTATAGCTGATGAGAAAAACCCAAGCGTGGGCCGCTTTCTGTAGTACCATTTACTAGTCAATGGTAGTACTAATTTCAAAAGTACCATTTCCTGTAGTATCTAATCAAATATGGTGTACACTAAAAAAAAGACTTTATTTTTACTTATTGGTCAGAACAAAGGTGTTCCAGGATAACTGCAAAGTGTTTAACAATAGATATCCAGGTAAGACCTTGAGTCATGTGGCTGTAAATGATTTAGTTAGGAAGTTTTCTGAAAGTAGCTCAGTTACCAATGAGAAAAGAACAGGATGAAGGGTCCAAGATGAATTCTGACACAAGTAAAAGTAGTCGATCAATTTGTAATAAATCCTACTACATCGTTGAGCAAAGTGCAATGTGTTTTATTAGAAAAATTTATAATTTTACCATGGAAAATTATGATTTTCTACTGCAATTTTTAAACAGTAAGAGATAGAAAGAAAACTTAAATACGTAAAATGTTTGTTAAAAAATGACCTTTCACGTGGTATGAAATTTGTTATACCTTGCTATTTAAGAATTTTGAGTTTTCAGCTTTCTTTTATTCTTAAAATTTGAGATTTTTTTTTAATTAGATAATAACATAGAAAATGCCCTTACTACAAGTTATCTTAAAGAGTAGCTCAAGAATAAGCTTGGAAAGAAATTTGGCGCTGTTCCGTTCATTAGTTAGGGTAATACGGTACTTAACTTCAAAGTCCTTTTTTAAAACGTTTTGACCCACCCTGTAAATACGGTTAAAGATAATTAAACTTTTTTTGCACCAAAATGATCGGGGTGATTAGACCTTTAAATTGATGTATCACACAACCCATGTTTACATTTGAAAATTTCTCAAAAAGCACCCCTACCCCCCTAATTGGGCCCTTTTGGGGCATTTTTCAAAATTGAAAATAATTTTATTGGATTTGGCATGTCCAAATTAGGTGGAAATGAGAACAAACAAGTGTTAAAAGCCTTACCTTTGCACACAACAGATATGGAAAGTTTTCAAATGAACACCCTGTATATATATATCCTACTAATCCTACTAATATTATAAATGAGAAAGTTTGGATGTATGGATGTATGGATGTATGTTTGTGACAAGTGAACGCGAAAAATACTGGTCGGATTGGGCTGAAATTTGGCATTATGATAGCTCACATTCCCGATTAACATATAGGCATATTCTTATTTATCCTACTAATATTATAAATGAGAAAGTTTGGATGTATGGATGTATGGATGTATGGATGTATGTTTGTGACAAGTGAACGCGAAAAATACTGGTCGGATTGGGCTGAAATTTGGCATTATGATAGCTCACATTCCCGATTAACATATAGGCATATTCTTATTTCAAAAATCCTTTCGGGCTCCGCCCCAGTGGCTCTGGAGTTTCCCATGTTAACCTAATGAGAAATGGAATTATCGAATCTTAACAGCTGCTTCAATTAAACAAGTTGGTTCTGTTCTATGATGTTCAATAGCATTAAAGTTACAAGGATTACCAACAGGGTGCAGCACTATTATTTCTTTTACATTTATGACAACAGCTAATTTGCAACCAAAAGGTGAGTGAGCGTAGCGAACGAACTTCAACCTGGAGGCGAGTTAGCGTAGCGAACGAGCTAACCTAAAGGCAAGTGAGCACAGCGAACGAGCTCCAACCGAAAGGTGAGTGAGCGTAGCGAACGAGCTCCAACCTAAAGGTGAGTGAGCGTAGCGAACAAACTTAAAACCAGGATGTGATTGAGCCATGCGAACGAGATAATCTTGAACATTAAGAAGTTAAACGGGGCAAAGCCCGCGGGTTACAGCTAGTATATATCTATATATACAGGGTGATTGATATAAGTGTGCCAGCCGTTTTATTCGAAAACTATAAGAGATATCAAAAAAAGTTAAATGGTAAGTGCCTTGGATTTTTTATTTAAAAAATTATAGTCAAGTCAAAAAAATTATTTTAGCCGCCATTTTTCCAATATGGCCACCAACTTTGATTTTTCTTACGGAACACCCTGTATTTTATGATGTATTCTGGTAGAAAAAGTAATTTTAAGACGATTTTATTCTTGTGATATTTTTCATAAACCTAACCGTTTCAAAGATAATAATTGTTAAAGTTTTGAAATTTCTGCATGAGAAAGAGTTTCGATAAAGGCCTAAGCAAGCATGCCAGCTGTTTTGTTCGAAAACCATTCAAAATTTCACAACTTAAACCATTATTATCTTTGAAACGGTTAGTTTTATGAAAAAAATCACAAGAATAAAATCGTCTTAAAATTACTTTTTCTACCAGAATACATCATAAAATACAGGGTGTTCCATAAGAAAAATCAAAGTTGTTGGCCATATTGGAAAAATGGCGGCTAAAATAATTTTTTTGACTTGACTATAATTTTTTAAATAAAAAATCCAAGGCACTTACTATTTAACTTTTTTTTTATATCTCTTATAGTTTTCGAATAAAACGGCTGGCACACTTATATCAATCACCCTGTATATATATATATACATATATAAAAATTTGAACGAATGGTGTTTTTGGCCTCTGGGGACATCAAAATGAAAAAGTAAATCGGTCCCGGGTCTAGGTCTTACCGTGCCACCTACGGTAATAGCTACTTCCCTATAGGGAAATTCGCTAAAAACTTACTATATCAAGGGAAGATAATCATAGTCGACACGTGAGATTGTTTTAAATGTAAGTGAAGGCAGAAAAATGGCCATGATGGTGCCCTAACAGTACGGAGTTGCTGTTAATGTTACTGTGAGGATTATTATGTTACATCAGGGAAGTTAACAATGTCGCTACAACCATTACAAATATTCTCAATTCCATCCTCATTGCAGGAGATAGATACAAAAAATCTTGATCATGGGTTGTTTGTAATTAATGTTTCAGTACAGCTCAGATTATATAAAATCTACTGCCTACTCTAATCCCTTAGCATTCCTAAGTATAAGGTCATTAGTTTATGATACCGAAATTCATGTTTCCGACTGATGGTTTACGACTGTTACTTACATGAAAAAAACAGTAGTTACTTAATTAGGTCAATTTGTTTGTGCTGGCCACGTGGCAGTATTATCAACAACAAAATTTGACTTTTTTTGTTGAAGAATGACAGTTGATAGTATACATAGGTATATCAAGTTCTATATTATTAAATCTGTAAATGAAAAGTGGTAAGAAGACTCACCGGAAGTTGCTGAAGTCTTTCTGCCGATCAACAGTCCCTGCGTAGCCACTAGTGTGGGGAAAGGCCAGTTGAAGTCAGAGTGGAGGTCTTTCAGTGCAGTGACAAAGTGGTCAACCTGACACCAGAACATTCATTAGGGTTATTGTATCCATGGCAAAAGGTCTAAAATCTCATTCGATCAACACATGTACTTCTTTCCACCCATGAAAATTCACGTAAGTGTGGCTGGGTTTTTCCAGTTTCCAGGGCAGCTAGACAACCTTTTATAAACATGTCTAGCGAAAAAAATTTGTGTGACATGAAAAAAATTAGTAAACAAGTTTTTTAAGAGACGTTTAGCTTGCAAAAAATGTTTTAGTGATGATAATGTATGCTTAACTCTACCATTACCATTACCATTACCAACTGGCAATCGTTGACCAGATGTCTGGATTGATCTTGTCAGATAAAATTTACTTTTAAGAATTAATAAACGAATATTTACAATATTGAATATTTACACTCCATGGCGGCTGGATTCATACTCAAAAGTCCATTGCAGTAGTAAAGTATTCCTCAATGGACTAAAAACACTTCCTACTCAGCCATTGTTTTAGTTTGACTTTAAAAGGGTCGAGAAGGAGTTCTTTAATGTGAAGGGGCAGTCTATTGTAGAGCTTGTGTGCTAACACTGGAAAGTAGTCCTTGGTCTTTGATAGCCTACACCTCGGGACATCCACATTCCTTGCAGAGCGCAGGTTGTAATTGTGGAGTTGGTCTCGTGTAATATGAGGGAGCCTAGGGTCAGTTTTCAAGAGAAGGAGGCAGTCTAGAATGTATTGGCTATGTATCGTGAGAATGCCGAGCTGTTCAAAAAGTGGTTCACAGTAACATTAACTATCTTATGAGACTGACTTTTGACCTGATTGTTATGATTATGACTGAATGATATTTTGATATATTGACAAACTCCTAGGTTAACTGAACCCTAATAATATCAATGATCAAAATAAATGTGTCTATATCAGGCAACTCACCCTGGCAGCACGGTCACGCTCTCTAGCAAGCCACCCCACCAGAGGAAAGTCCAGATGGGCAGACAGTCGTCCCAGGTCCCCCAGTCTGTGGTCACACAGCAGACGACGGGCGTGCCGCTGTACCATCACGTCCATGAAAAACTCTTCTGCCGACCCTCCTCCAGCACCTGGCGTGGATATACATGACCTGCTCCTAGGATATACCACACACAACTTGAGATTTATAGCATTGAAATGAACTGACTTTGATTAGTGCAGTATTTCTCATTCTGAAGCCATTTTCTGATGTTTTATGTTGGTTAGAGTGTGCAGATGTCGACTCAACATTTCTCTTTTACTTTTGAGTTAGATTTGACAATTTGTGCCTTACTGTTTCTTTACAGTACCAGAGTATAAGCTGGTTATGATTGGACTCATTTGGTGAAACTTGTTTTTAAATAAACTTTTAACAATAAATAAGTTGAGTTTTGTTACTGTAATACTGTAGCTCAAGTGACGTAAAAAATGCTATAGTTTGCAATAATTATGTTTTCCTTCCAGATTGGCTTTGGTTAAAAGTTGCTGTATTTGTAAAAAATCAGTAACATCAGCATACTCTGTTGGTGACTCAATTCAAAGTTCACATTTTTCGTAAAACTGGTTACAACTTTAACATTGAAACAAAATTTATTGTCTAATTCTATTAGTAGTTAAAGCTTTTGTGCAGCACTGAGATAAATGTTTCCTTACAAAACCCGTTAACAGGAAATCACCAAAACCACAAGCTATGATGCACCAAAGCAAAACTTTATAGAAACGAATGCTCACTATACCTGTTGTCAGATTTTGCAGTGGGAACAGACTTTTTCCTGCGCAGACTTGCCACATCCGCAGCATGAGACATGGGTTCTACCATCTGCAGCTTGGGGTTCACTGTGGTGCTAAAACTGCGGCCCCTTGAAACCTGTGGAAACACATGAAATCTATTGTCAGGAGTCATACAAGTGACTTGCCATTACACTGACAAGATCCCTAGTGAACTTTTGTATTGAGGGTCACTTTATCAATGTTTTATCTGTGAATGTCAGTACTGCGTGAAAAGGAAAAAAAAAATTGGGTGTTGAAGAAGGATGCTAGAAGAAGATAACATTCCTGGGAAAATGAAGATGATGGTGAAACATTGAGGCAGACTGATAAGTAGAACGAGAGGCTGCATACCATAGATAAGGAACGTGGAGAAGAGAGAATTGAGATGGCAGATGGTGTAGTGGTAGCTGGGTAGCAGAGTAGTAAAGAGACATAATAATTGAAATGTCACCAGTTTGACCCTGAGAAAATTCAGTAGATGTGAGATGGATCGAAACTAAGCCCAGCTGTCCTTGTTCATCGGGCGTTTAATAAATGATCCTGACTAATGAAACAGCTGATCTTAGTCGGTAATAAGGCTACATGAACCATCCCAATCCACTCTACACTCTACACTCATCTTGTATTTATATTCAGCTTAAAATATGCATCCAAGGGTGTGTCGATGTCTCTAAGAACTGAGAGTAATAATAGTTGAAGGAGTTATAGGAACTGTGGATGAATATAGAGAAGCCTAGATTAATCTTAAAATGTTGTGTGCGGCTGTTTCCTATCGGGTACGATGCTCGGTGCCCGTAGGGTGTGTCCGTACCCGATCGGGAATGCTCTGCAATGCCTTTCGTATATCTTTGATTTTGCTCTAGCGTCGGCCGAATGCTGATCTATACCACACTAGCGTCACAGAAAACGTACTACTATAACCCAGAATGCCAACCGCATGGTAAAAAGCATTAAGCGGTTTGAGAGAGCTTTGCCTGTCAATCCGTAGGCAGCGCCACCAGCGTTGCCATGCAATAGCATAGCAACGCTGGTGGTGCTGCCTACGGATTGACAGGCAAAGCTCTCTCAAACCGCTTAATGCTATTTACCATGCGGTTGGCATTCTGGGTTATAGTAGTACGTTTTCTGTGCTAGCGTGTAGTGTGTGACTTGCTTTTTGTTGTGGTGTAGGTTTGTAGTAAATTTCAACGTAAAACCCCCGTCTGGCAATCTTAAAAATCTACTTGTTGTCCCGTCTTTCTCCCTCCAATTGGCAATACAACCACAGCTGCGTTCCAAGCAGTGCTGCTGCTATCTGTGGGTGTTTTAGCAAACTACGTTGACTCCCATAAGGCAGGACATCCCCGCACGTTATTTGCTATTCGTCAGACGGAAATTTGAAAGCCAATCACCCGGCAGCAAATGGGTTCGTTCGACGCTGCGGGCTGCGCCACACTGGGGCTATGCCTGCTACTTGATGGGCCACACCGAACGTGTTAATGTATTTTTTAAAGTTCAATGACCTGCATACTGCCAAGCACCAGGGACAGATCTTCCTCGTTGGGGTTGACTGGTGGAGGTTGAGGGACTCCGTATTTGTTGGCGTGGATGAATGATGTTCTGGGAGAATCCGCTGATTCCGCATCGTTTGGATCTGAAACATAATTTGTCAGTTTTAAAAATTATAACACAATACTACAATATACAGAATCAAACTAGCAAAACATTTGAATTAGATAAGTTTGGTAATTAATAAGGGATAGTATACGATGAGTTATTTGCACAACTTTACTAAAAACATATTTATTTAGTACATTTAAGGATTTAGGCCTACGATATCTCTTGTATTTTATCTCAGAAAGAGTAAAATACTTGTAGGTTGGTTTTGATAACTATTTTTAGTAAAAGAATAAATAATGTCTGAACCTGTAAACAATTTTAAGCTGAAAAATGATAACAGTCCTAATACGATAGGTGGAGGCTAAGCTGATGGAAAAAGTTGGCATTAGATTGAGGGCCGAAAGTAGGAAAAAAGAAACTTACGTTACTATAAAAATAAAGTTGATAGTGATAGAGGGAAGTAAACTGAGAATAAGACCAAGAAAACAGTGGATAGATGAGGTGAAGAGAGACGTGAAGAAAAGTACAGTAAGATAGTAAGAGCAGGCAGAAGAAGAGGAAGAAGTGTGAAGGCGAGGAGAGAAAGATGAGGCTTAGTTGATGCCCCAGAGTCAAAAACATCCAGATCAGAAGAGCCATTCTTTTCTGTAATAGAGTAGTAGTAAAAATAAGCAAGTGGTTTACCAATAGCCTTGAGGAAGCGAACAAGATCCTTGGACAACTCCCATTTGCCACTCTCCAGCGTGGAGTCCAGCAGCATGGTGGCATACTGTCTACTGACTGTGGATGACTCCATGTTCTGTAACAATAACCCAGTGATTAGTGATATTGAATACACTATACCTTTAAAAAATTGCATTTAGGATGTGATCAATTGGATTTAACGATCGAATCTCAAAACTCTTGGAAACATTGAACTTTCAATCTTGGTATATTGGCAGGAACTAAATAATTAAATATTTTTTGAAGGGTGATCTCTCTGTATTATAGCCTGAACGATCACAATACAGTTGAGATGTCTTCTAAACCCAAATTTTTCCTTGGTTGAAAATGCTTCCAATGACAGCGAATATTATACATTTTTGTGAAGTTTTAAGTTTGCTTTGTTTCTTATCAGAGTGAAATCTTTCCCTTGTAGGCTCCTAATAAACATGTTTAGAATTGACATTTATTCAACTTATAGAAAAACCAATAATTAGGGGTCTGCGGTACAGAAGATTTAAGGTCGGTACGGTACAATATCTTGTACCTCGGTTCTTGGTAAAATCGGTACGGTACGCGGTTACCAGTAATTTTGTGGTTTTCTCCTAAGATTGAAACCATTTATTTTAAATTGTAATACATTGAAATTACTACGAATGGGTACTATCCTAAATTTATGGTTTTCTAACAACAATTAATTACTGTCCCACACATTATTAAAACCTTTTCCTTCTAACAAGATTGTGTCAAGAAATCAACAAAGTTAAGATAAAGGCTTCACCTATTTTACTACTAAGTTAAGTACCGATGACGGTAATTAAGCTTGTACCATACCGTACCAACTTTTTCGGTGCACACAGACCCCTACCAATAATAAATAAGGGTAGGCAAACCAATCGCTGCTTTCGTAATTGTTTCTGATTTACTACAGGAGTAAAAGTAATCATTGGGAATGTTATTTCCCAAAATGGTTATTGATTTTTGGATCTACAATCTATACAAATGGCCTACTGGTTGTCTTGTATAGACTGACCTGTAATATGATGAGGTACGACGCAGCAGTATCTAGTTGTTTGTTGACCAAACACTCATGGAACAGATCCTTAGGTTTGCCAGCTGCCGCAAACAGATACGGCCACAGTGCTATCTCAGTTTTACGAGCACACTGTACTATAGTCTCTAGGTAGACGGGGAACTCTTGTATAAACTCAACCACACTCGGCAGCTGAGCGTCCGGGATTGGCTCCTTACTCGTGGCTTCTTCTTCCAGGACCTGCAACAACATATGTTTGTTATAAGCTATTTTTCTCTAAGTAAAATCTTTTAGAAACAGTGAGTTCCATTACTGAGCAAATTAAAAGAATGTATCAACATGTACATTTCCAAAAATTAAAAAGTATTTATTTGTGTTTCTAATTTTTAAGATCTAATAAAATAATGGTTTTGAAGGATATTATTTCTGTGGTCCTGGTACAAATATTTTTGACCTGAATGTAAAATCATTCACTTTCGTGATCGATAGACACCCTGTTCTTGATTAGAATGCATTCACAATTAACAATATATTACATAATTATTATGGATTGTAATTGTAGATTTGTAGTGTAAACATTTCAATGTTTTATTTCTGTGGCCCTTGTGTGAATCCGTAACTTAATTAAATTACAATCCAGTGACTTTGATTATCCCCTTCATAAAAAAGCAACTTTTATACTTCAGTAAGCAGTACACCCTACTAATTAGGAATACAAAATATTGACTATACACCTCGTGAAGCAGTAGTTCCAACGAGTGAGAGAAGTAAGGCAATGCCGAGCAGCCTCTGGCTATCTCCCAAGCATGGAACCCGAGATTGCGGCGTATCAGCTGTCTCAGAATCTGATGCAGGTATACTTGACTCTACAATGACAATGTTACATTCAAATAAGAACCATTTATTGTGGTTAGAGTGCTATAAATGTAACCAGCATCTAACAACAACACACAGCTCAGACCAACTCAGGAAAAGTTCACATCTAACTACAGATAAAATAAGTTTAGATTCTAAAAATCACAATCGGCTTACTTAAGGAACAGTTATAAAATAAATATTTTTGACATTAAACAAGAAAAGAAGTTAGGACATCCTTTCTTAAACCACCCTTAAGTTTATAAAGGTTATAAAACCATACAGAAACTATATAACATAATCTATGCTGGGATAAAATACAAGAGAACATTATTAGAATTATGGGTTAAGTCCCTTTCTTATTAGATGGAAATAATTCTGAGTTTTACCTTTTAAATTGCTTCTTGAATTGGTGAAACAAATAATTAACCGTTATGAATCTTTCAGTTTGTAAATTTCATTCTCATACGCGACGTCGGAGCGTACTCCTAGTTTTATATTAATTACTTACAGTTAACAATCACGCACATCTGATCACTTTCAGGGTGAATTTAATTAAATTTCATGACATAAATGCAAGAGAATTGAAAAGTTACTTACAGTTCTCTCTAACGTACAGAAGGGTAGAGAGAAGGGTGAGTTAGAATCTGAGGTGTAGAGCATAGTGTCGTTTTCAGCACCAAGTAAAATTGCTTCTTCAAATAATATTGCTGAAAAAAACACATAAAATTAAACACACAGTGTTTTCTTTACTCCTATGAAATGCATCAATACATAATACATAGTTTTTACTTACATTGTTTTCAAATTAAAGATTAGCAAATATTGTTTTCTGTATACATTTTGTTTATGTTTTAGGTAATTGTTCACGTGAGGGCAGGATCAAATTCTAGATCTGGATTATGTAACATAGGCTAGTGATAACTTAATTTAATCAATAAAAAACGCTCATCGTAATCCCTCAAATAACAGAATCTCCTTGTCTAACCATCAGACTGCCTACCTAGTGGGTAAATTCTGAGCTGGAAGGGCAGCATGATGCGTTTGCTCATAAACGTGTGTGACTTGTCTCCGTCCCGAGGAAACAGCGGCAGCCAGACTCTCATGCCCTGTGCACCACAGAACAGCCACAGGGCCTCTGTCAGGTGAGGCTTGGCATGTAGGAACTTGCCAGGGACCCACACATTCTCTACACAAGATGCCAGTCCCTGCGGTGGAGCTAACACCTACAACACAACAATAATCAGTAATGTATTGTGTGATTTTATGCTTTTTACTATGGTGTCATGTTACAAGGCCTACCAGAAAGTATATTTAGTGTATTTAGTGAAAGTATATTTAGTTAGTAGGTATGTATTGTCTTTTTAGGTGCAATATTAGGGATTTTTATTTTTGATAGTAGCCTCAATATTAAAAATGGGTTTGGTGTTTCACTACTTAACTTGCTTTGCATTATTCCAAAACACATGAGAAAGTAATTGAGATTGTATTTTATGTTTTGTTGCTTGGATCATTCTCTGAAAGGTTATTGTAACTAAATTAGCTAATTCTTGCAATCTGATCTTTTATGCATTCCAGCCATGCACACATCCCCTATGGTGATCCCTATGGTGATCCATATGGTGATCCATATGGTGATCCCTATGGTGATCCCTATGGTGATCCCTATGGTGATCCCTATGGTGATCCCTATGGTGATCCCTATGGTGATCCCTATGGTGATCCCTATGGTGATCCCTATGGTGATCCATATGGTGATCCATATGGTGATCCCTATGGTGATCCCTATGGTGATCCCTATGGTGATCCCCTATGGTGATCCCCTATGGTGATCCCCTATGGTGATCCCCTATGGTGATCCCTATGGTGATCCCTATGGTGATCCCCTATGGTGATCCCCTATGGTGATCCCTATGGTGATCCCTATGGTGATCCCTATGGTGATCCCTATGGTGCTCCCTATGGTGATCCCTATGGTGATCCATATGGTGATCCATATGGTGATCCATATGGTGATCCCTATGGTGATCCCTATGGTGATCCCTATGGTGATCCCTATGGTGATCCCCTATGGTGATCCCCTATGGTGATCCCTATGGTGATCCCTATGGTGATCCCTATGGTGATCCCCTATGGTGATCCCCTATGGTGATCCCTATGGTGATCCCTATGGTGATCCCTATGGTGATCCCCTATGGTGATCCCTATGGTGATCCCTATGGTGATCCCTATGGTGATCCCCTATGGTGATCCCTATGGTGATCCCTATGGTGATCCCCTATGGTGATCCCCTATGGTGATCCCTATGGTGATCCCTATGGTGATCCCTATGGTGATCCCTATGGTGATCCCCTATGGTGATCCCTATGGTGATCCCCTATGGTGATCCCTATGGTGATCCCCTATGGTGATCCCTATGGTGATCCCTATGGTGATCCCCTATGGTGATCCCTATAGTGATCCCTATGGTGATCTCCTATGGTGATGGATTAGCGAGGTTTTACTGTAACGGAGATTCATCACCTAGACATGTGACAGTACCTGGTGTTGATTGTTGTTTTGGCTGACCATCAACAGTCTGCCGCTGATATTGAGCAGGAAGCTGTCCCTGTAGTGAGGGTCTTCTCTCCTGGTAGGCTCTGTACGCAGAGCAGTCAATGTCACTGACACCACACACGCAGGATGTACCAGCAGAGCATTCATGTCTAGCCTCTGTATACATCTCACGTCCACAACCATGCCTGCAAGTGGGGACAACCAGGAATTAGTACAATAAAAGGTTTAAATTACCTGTATCCGTCAAGTGATTCTGGTCTGTAGTTGGTTGACTACAGCTGTTTCATGTTAATATTAACACATCTTCAGGTCAAATTGTTACATTGATTTATTCCATAGAATGGTCGTCATAAGGTTTAAAGTTGACAAAAAAATAACACATACACGTACACGGAACATTTCACACTGATTGGCCTTTGATTGGCATTTGATTGGCATTTGACACAAAACAAAAAAACGTGCAATAATCATCGGACACGTACGGCGCCTGTAGAAGGTAGGTCATGACTGCCGTGTGCCGGAAGTGATAGCCCCCCGCCCACTATCAGGGGGGGGCTAATTACTGGGGAACCTTACCATCTACCGGCGCCGTACGTGTCCGATGATTATTACGCGTTTTTTCGTTTTGTGTTTTGGCCAATCAGTGTTAAATGTTCCGTGTACATGTATGTGCTATTTTTTTGTGAACTTTAAACCTTATGACAACCATTCTATGGAATAAATCAATGCAACAATTTGACCTGAAGATGTGTTAATATTAACATGAAACAGCTGTAGTCAACCAACTACAAACCAGGATCACTTGACGGATACAGGTAATTTAAACCTTTTATTGTAAAAATCAGTGATCCAGAGGCTATAGGCCTACCATAAAATTAAACAGGAATTAGTGATTGGTTTACCATTACATTTCATATGACATGCTGTCACAAAGAAACATAAAATAAAAATTCAAAGGTATGTCAGGTTTGAGCAAGTAAACTGACAGCTGTTGCCTGTACCCAGGGATCTGGGTCTATCCCCTTAGAAGGCATATGGATCACTTAACACTATCAACCAACGTTTGCTTCGTTGAAGTTTTAGTTCATTATAACAGTAATCCTGGGCATATGGTTTGCCCCACAGACAATGATACAATGCTGGAGTACAAAATCCTCTTAAACCAGTCACTGTCTTTTTCACAGCATGGCTAAGCATGGATATGATTGGTTCTACTCTTTAGTTTCTAATTGGAATTCACTAGGTGATTTTTTTATACTTTCAGCCAATTAATAGCTATTTACCTTACAAGTGTAGTAAGAGCGTTTTTACATCACGCAGGTGAATGTTGAGCAACGAGCGGAAGCGAGTTGCATAATTTACCTAAGTGATGTAAACACGCTCTTGCGTAACGTGTAACGTACAAGATTTTACCTGACCCGACAATATACAGGAGATTACGAACAATATTTTACAGTATCCATTTCACTCATCTTTTAACAGTAACGTTCATTTACAAACAAAAGCTAGGTTAGGAAAATTCTTCAAAATAGATCAATAAAATTCAGGTGCACAGCTGATTTCTAGCGTTGAACGTGGCTCCATAGAGGTATATTTTATTAAGTTGAGCACTCAATGTTATTTAAATGGGTTTTTCATTACCTCACCGAGTGAGTTTTTTTCAACTTTACATCACTCGAGAGGTAAAGAAGTTGTATACATCACGCTTGGGATAGGGAAGTTTAACATGGCGAGTTAGGTAAAATAATAAATACATAATCTAGTATACAATAAAAATTTCTTGTTGGATGATTTATTGACTAATATTCAATAAAGCAGGTTTTACAAACTGCTGATTTTGGTAGCCGAATGTGGTTACGAGATTGTAGATGTGTTGTGAATGTGATTCTTTTAGGCTCTGAGTTTCCCTTGGCTGAATGCGGTTGACAAAAATCAGCCTGAACTTGACCCTTGTGTTTTCTTATGGTGCTATGTTTGAGGATTTTTCTTATAACAGCATATTGGTTTGAATGGGAAAGAATCCACCCTTTCACAAGGAACAAAAAACTTGACATGACAAAAACTAAGAACGGGAAAGCTTTCCAACTCAATCTTTTATTGGTTGAACATGCTGTCAGTCACAGTGAAGTTTTTGGTTATGTATGTTTGTTAGGATGGACTCTTTTCTAGTAACAAAGGCTGCTATCACAACAAAAACCATTTTAGCACACTAGTCACAAAACCAACTCCTACCGACTAATTTTTGATTACTTAATTATTTAGATGTCCTACCTGGACTAGAGTTGTCATTCTGTTGCAGTGTAAATATGTTGATCTGCCCGTCTGCAGAGTACACCAACAATCTATCTTGCAGACAGTCTAACAGGAAGATCTGAGCAGACAACTGTATCATTGTCATGTGTTCATTAGACAATCTCATGTCTCTAGGGTAGATGCGGATCTGGTCTTCCTCATCAGGTGAACTGTAAAACAACTCAATCTTATCCAATTTGATCTCCCGTAGCAACTATTGCAGTTAGTTGCAGTTAGTTAGTTGCCTAACCTTGTAACAGCATTTGTAACAATGGTAGTTTAACAGTTTGGTTTTTTAAAGTTTTGTACTTGTTAAACAATTTATGGTGCTTAGCTAAGGATAATGTTTAACACTAATACCGAAACCCCGGTCTGACAGGCCCAAGGGAATTTTCAAAAACGCATGTTGGCAACACTGTTTACTTGGTAGATTCCATTCCCCCAATCCCTTCCCCCCTTTTCCTCCCCTACCTATTGATATATCGTTTGTTCATTTTGCATGGGTGCCGTGACCTTGACAGGTCGTCTGTTCATAACATGTCCGTCTCAGAAGCCCAACGTTAGTGTATTTTAAAGCAAGGTCTCACAGACCGAGGGTTCCGGTTTGTGTGTTCCTAAGCAAAGTCCATTATTTTTCAAATGGGGTCTCACAGACCGGGGGTTTCGGTTAACGTCAGCCTATGTGGGGTTTCGGTATTAGTGTTAATGACGGAGTAGCTATGCTATGATGTATGAAGGATTTGTAAAGCTGTTCATTTGTTTTATGTGAAATTCAGAACTAAAAGTAACATCTAAAGCATTTTGTCGATTTAATTTAAATTAAATCATAAATTGATGTACACCATAGGAATAGTATGTTGTGCTTTTAAAAAAAGTGTTTCTCCTCTTAACTGCAGTAGAGTTTCTAAATTCACAATATATTACTGGATTCTCTCTATTTACTAGGCCTACCTAAATTTTCTCAGGTAAACTAGCTGAACACTATGTCTTTTGCAAAACAAATTCATCGTGTTTTATTTTACGCTACACTATTGTATTCTCGGACATCTAGTCCATCAGTAAGATATTAATATAATTTCCACCAAGACAGACCTGTAGCAGCCAGCCACTATGTACTGTTGCCACCATAACAGTCCTCCCATCACCATCATGTCCTTCTCCTGCGTCTCGTTGCCAAACAGCTTCCATCTCTTGGTGGACAGAGAGTAGTGAGCGAGTCCGTTCTTGCCAGCCACTGCTATGTTGCTCCCCTCACTGTCAACCGCTGTGTACTGCCAATACCAATACAGTGACAAATACATTTCGTATAGATTTAAATTCTTATTTGTTTAAAAAAAATGATTAGTCAAGTATAAGTCTATGGCCAGTATGGTGCCATATGACTAAGAGGTGTAGGAAATCAAGGTAAGTTGTTGGCAACAGAAACTAGTGTATATAGGAGTAGAATAAAAACTATGTTGATAACTATATATTTTATTTTTGTCCCATTTTCAAAACTTGAATCATATTACCTTGTTGCTGTAGCCTGTGGTTCTTGAGTATGTACGATTGTTTGAGACCGAGGCTTCAACCACAAAGGTAACAATGGTGGATTGTGCAAGAAACGAAGATAGAAGGAGTACGGAAAAAGAGGGAGTTACAGTGGATAAATTACAAAGAGGATTTGTGACGGGTCTCACCAGCAAAGAGGAAGATAGGACTATTCACAGTTGGCGTCTGGAAATAAAGGAGGTTATGAAACAAAAAAGCTGTAAAAATCCACAAAAAGGAGAAATAAAAAATAATTTGTTAAAAATCCAAATTGTTCAATCCAATTAAATTCTTCAAGCAGAATAAAAATGAAGGGTGACTGTATGGAGTGAGATGATTTTGTAGCTTTGTTACTGACCATTAAACCATTTTTACTTTCCTATTAGTTATAAAAACTTGCAACAGTGCACAGTTGCAAGATTTAGTAGCTCTGCACTATGTGTAGCAAAATTTAGCATAGAATCGAACAATGTATGAGGTTTATTTGCAGGCAATAATTTACTAACAGAAAATAAGCTGGAATATAGTAGTTTACAATTATGTCTTCATCGTTGTCCTCAATTTGAGAAGTGTCAACATAACATGATCTAAAAATTAACGTTAACCAGTTTTTTCTTTATACAGTTCAGAGATTAGACTTACCCTGATTGGCCAATTTGTTGCAGAGTACAAAGATGGCAGCAATATCACCAACCACTGTTTGTTCTCTACCAGTGCAGATGTCACCTTGAGATGAGGCAAGGGTTTGTCTTCCTCTAGGGATGCTCTCATCTCATAAACCTACAATCAGACACTAGATCAAAATTGCATTACTTAAGATGTATTGCTAGGGCTGCCCTATTGATAAAGGTTTACAGTTTGACCAAACAAAACATCCTCACAACCTATTTAATGAATTTTAAAGTGAAAGGACAGTGGAACACAAAAGGTCCAGAATAAAATTCAATTTAAGTTTTGAAAACAAAGAGCTTTAAGATTGAAATTGGATACATAAGAAATCAGTAAGTTTAAGCGATGAATGTATTCCAGCCAAAGTCAGAGATTGAAAGGTTGGTTTGGTTTTGATTGCAGGTATAAAACAGGTATGGAGGCGAGTGGTGATGGCGGCCAATGGCAGAAACGCCATTGCTAATGATAATGGTGATGAGGGTAACGACAATGACCTGACGGGGTTACGTGATGTGCAGTATTAGGCCTTATTCTAACACCACCTGGTGTTTCAATACTACTTTTTTGGTACCCTTTTCTATAAAGACTAATAGGATAGTTCAAATTAATGATTTTTTTATAAAGAAGTTCAAATTGAACATTTTCTACTGTATTTGTCAACGTTTTATTTTGTGTTCAAAGAATTTAATCTGATAATCTTGACGGCGAGGAATTGTATTTTAAGGTTATCAACTTTGATAATATACCTTTGTTAATCCAGGACTAAGGTTCACGTACAGTCTGTCTTCTCCTTGCAGGTAGAGATGAGTTTGTCGACTCTGAAAAAGAGGAAAAGATTAAAGTTAAGTGGAAAATAACATGGAGACAAAATTACTACCAGTCAAAATAAGGTTGAATAGAGGTATGGATGTTAACATTTAAGATTAGGTTGTATCTTTATAATTTTATTTTCGGTCTAAATGTTAGGCAATATAAGTTAAAGGTAATCGTAAGAAATGTTTGATTTAGGTAATTTTTTTACATTTATCCATGTCCTGAAGAGTACACTAAGGTCTTGTATTAGTTTTGTTTTGATTAAAGTTAAAATTACAGAATTTATGGGCATTTTACACTCAAACCTACAGTTTCATTAGAAAATCAAAATAAGGTTTTCTATAAGAAACATACCATGCAAGGGTTGACGGTTAAGGCACTTTTGACAAAGCCCAGCTGTATGATGGTGTCTCTCGGAGTTGTCTCCGTATTGTCATTGGCAGACTCGCTGTTGTTGTTGGTATTGTTTTCACTGTTGTTGTTGTTGTTCCCTCCGGGATCATGTCGCTTCACCATCCACAGCTGATATCCTTCTAGTGACCATTCCTAGCAGCATAATGTGACAATTTAAGTTGAAGTTGTTCATATTAACATGGCAGCAATGTGGTAAATGCCACCACTTACAATTTATAAGTACTGATAAAAGTTAAAAGATGCCGTCTTCTTCAAAAAAATAACAGTAACCTAAGAATGATAGCAAAATGGTGATCGTCTCCTTAAATTACCAAATAAAAAAAAATTCAAATTTGATGTAAATTTTGTAATGGTGTTAACATTGTGTCAACATTCACGAGCTACTATGGCCATCACAAACAAATCATGATCATCTCCAGTGATGTTAAAAAATCCAAATATATATTTATGTGTGATTCACCTGAAATTGAAATAACATTGTAGTAAGTAGCGCGGAAAAACAACTGGTGTAAATAAAATATATTTGAGTCTTAAATCCAGCCAATCGTATCTAAATTTGTTTAGTGCCTGTGGCACTTTGTAACAATCACAAATGCTTTATGAGAGTGAGATCCAAACCCCTAGAATGTTGTGAAGTATGTCAAAAGATTGAACCGTCTCTCTCCCAAAAAATTTCACGACATTAACTACATTGCTAAGGTGGCACAAAACCTTTCTAGAGAATTGATTCAATACCAAGAATCAGTTTCGATACACTTCTTCTACATAAAGAAAGCAGTATACTCACCATGTCCACTATGTTGAGTGGGTTGAACCTGGCAAGATCCACATGTAGACCGTAGTCCCATCCTAGACTACAGACCAGCAGAGCTCCGAATGTGCTCCACACTGAGAATCCTCCTCTACTCCAGGCCATGGCCATCGCACATCCATCAGGGGTCCACCTGTCACCACACAACACTACTGATGAATGATAGTCATTACACATCGAACCTTAAATAAAAACTGCTTTCTATGTTAACTAACATGTCCAGGGTTTAACTTGTTACAGTAACTCTTCAGTCTTCTAGATTAGTTCTACAAGAGAGTTCCTACAGCCTATGCTTTGCTTTTGTTAGGCAAAATAAAAGTACTGGGAATGAACATTTTTGTAAAATAGTTTTCAGATTCTGAAAGGGTGACCGAACCAAACTATTTTTACTGTTGAAAATTCATAATGCACCAACCCATATAAGAACAGTGTGGGAATCACACTTATTGGACAAAACTACTTTGGGGAATGTTGCAGTCATAAAGATATCCCTCATCATGCTTTGCACCAAAAACTAGATGTACACGGGAGGTAACTGCCCACCACTCATCTTTGTCTTGAAATATTACATGTACAACAGTATCTGAAATGTCTGATGATGGACGGAATTGTACTTTCGGTTTAGGACAGGATGAGACGAGACTTTTCTTTCTGTGCAACAACCAAAACCTTAATTTTTTTATATTGAGTACAACTTTTTGCAATGGCAATGATGACAAACAAAATTAAAATTATTACAGTCTTTATTGCCATGTTCTATGTCATCATGACTAATCCATGGTCGTAGCTCTGTCATTATTATCTCCTGCGATTTTAGGAACCTCATAATCGTCTCCAGAAGTAATGGAAAAATCGTAAACATCCTACCAAATCGCAAAAAATCTTGACAAAATTGCTAAGGAATAAACTCTGTCCCAAGAAAGCCCCAAATTCAATGCAAAATCTAAAATGTAATTTTCCCAAAATTTCTAGTCTTGTCCATGCTAAGCAGTGAAAAGTCCGGAAGAGGTGAGCTTTCACCTTTCTACTACATTATCAAAGTTCACCCGCTCATAGAGGGTGTGATGAACATCATCAGCATCTACTTACCTAAGACAACATACAGGCCCCACTTCCCCAGGATAGACTTGTGGAGACAGACTGAGCTCATGACACAACTCAAGACCTCCACTACTCTCATCCATACAGAAAACTGCACCATGAGAACTGTCAACAACACGCACCAAGATTTAAGATTCAGGACTCAATATCTTAGGATATCAAGTTTTTAATTAATGAAATTGAGCTCATAAGAGTATTGGCATTTTGAATATAGTTTTCAGGCTATAGCGTTTGCATCAAATTATTACCTTCATTAGCAATATTGGATTGATCACCTCAAATAAAATAGCCGGTCTAGCTGGAACTACATAAAAAGTGATAGTTATTATTATTGTATACTTACATGACAGACTTAAACTAAATAACTTTCCGTAAACTTAAACTGTACACATCAACAAAGTTTTACAACTTAACTCAAGTTACCAAGCCAATATCCAACCCAGATCAAGTATTTAATCTTACTCACTTCTTTCTCCCGAAGGTGATGAGTCTATACTTGTGGTTCACTGTGGCACAAGTTGCATCATCAATGTTGGGAGCCCAGATGCCTTGAACTTGCTGAAACAGATCAACAATCATTGCTTGCTACTAAGCTCCCTAATTTGAGTTTGGTCGTCAACATTAATAAGGGAACAGATGTAAACAATAGTCAGCTCTGGGCATCGCCTAGCCCTTGGGGCCACAAAAATAGTGGTACTCTGGAGATGTCTAATTAACTTCTAAAGATAAACTTTCCAGTTTAGTTAAAGGATCAGAGTACCAAAGTGTCTACTGTCTAACAATGAGAGTAAGTCTACTGTTTATTATTTCCAAAGCACAAATTTGTTTACCTATTCTTTCAACTCCTGATTGAGGATCACTTCAAAATCCTCTAATAATTCCCTACCCGGTTATACCCTCAGGGATCTACAAGTTTAACTATTAAAAATTTTTTACAATGTCCAAAGTTCAACTGATAAATTTCAACTTACGTTCGGATCAAACTTGTAGCTGGGAGCAATCAAGAAAGCAGCTCGGCCGTCGTTAAAGACAACAGCAAACCCACAGTTGAGAGGAGAGTAGTCTATGTGTGTAATGTAGGTGTTCTGCTGGACGATAGGCACAGCTGGAACGCAGTAAAATAACTAACACAGAGTTAACAGAAACTGTGAAGAATTCAAAACAAGCAATCACTCAAATATGTTGGTATTGTTAACGGTTTAAATCCGAGGGATTGATTAGTTATAAGTTTATTTGTGTAGGCCTAGAGTAAACCACTAAATAACCTAAATAAACGGGGCAAGGCTGTTTTGGATCAACTTTTTCGGTTAATCAATGATTGGAGCTTAAATGCTATTTTACATAGAAGTAAAACAAGGTGTGATACAGTTAGAAATTAAGGAATCGGAAAACAATTAGAGAGGGAGAGGAACAAAGAAGTGTTTGGTGTTTAGCATAAATGGATTTGATAGTGATAGAAGGAAGAAGAACTGAGAGGAACGCCTGAAAGAAGGTGGTCAGATGAGAACAAGAGGATGGGAGAAGAGGAGTTTAAATGGCAGATTGGAGAAAGTAAAGGGGCCTTGTCTGGGATACGTCTGCATTTTAAAATATCAACAGAGGCACTATTTATTTCAGTTGGCATATTTTCCACATGCAATACTAACTTCCAGTAGCACAAAATCATTGAGCATCAACTGGCTTCACTGACTTCTCACCTTTGGAAACCTGTTGGTCTATACAGAAAGGTATTCTGCGCAGGTCCAGGCAGTAATCTCTGTTCTGTGTACAGTCCCAGCGGTATCTCAGCACATGGCCTCGTGTGGTAGAGACCATCAGCTCATCTCTCATACAGACCATGCTGAGAATACCTCCTCCCACGGCTACTTCCTGGCCCTGCAATAAAACCAGTTATTAAGTAGAAGCACAACAACTTTTTTATACTTATATTAATACAAAAATTTATTTAAACCATGTATATAATCAATAAAATTGTTCATTAAATCAACAAAATCTCGTACTTTACATATTTATAAAAATACATAGCAAAACAAAACTATCGGAGGCCGGCTCCGTGCTACAAGACTCTTTGGGCTTCAACTGATTAATGGGTTTTGCAGGGGAGGTCAAAATAATGTTCAATAGGTTCCTAGGAAGATGCACGTAAGGTATGTTACTCCTAAAGCTGCTGGCTGGCAATATCACATATTTTCTATAAAAACAAATGCGCTCGGAGGAAGAATCAGTGGTGTCACTGATGGAGGGTAAAAATTTGTATAAATGGTAGCCAAACTAAGTTAAAAGGAATAATCCAATTTGATATTTTATTGCAGTTGCCATAAAAATGTAATTTATTTTTTTTATTATTTGAGAAACTTGAGATAGGCTACATTAATTATTTGAATATCATTTTAAATTGATCAATATTTCCTGCAGGTGTAAATAAACCTTTTTGGTAAAAGGTCAGTTCGAAAAACATAAAATATGTCAATAACAAAAAAGCAAAATCACTAGACAGCAGACACATCTTTCTAAACAGTACAGTGAACAATGGTAGCTAAATACAATTAGATGTCTAATTGCTGGAGTGATTATTGATGTCACAATCAACATCAAAGCAGTTTTGCTGAGCGGAATCACCAAGTGCTACGATTGGATTTCAGCTTACAAAATACACCTAGTTAATAGTATTATCTTATTTGAGTTGGCTAACCTATTCATAACTACAACAACATTGTTTTAAATCATATTTATATCATTAACTATCGATTCTAGTGTAATATATTTGTAAATTGTCCATTGCTGTCTTAAAATTTTGTAAACAAAATTCAAAATATACAGCCAATTTTGCTAAAAAGGTTTTGGTATAGGTAAACTTTCTTTTTTGTCAATTTAAAACATTTGATAAAAAAAAGGTATTATACTTTTTTACAAACAACACGTTCAAAGCAAATTTAGATTTCACCAGCAGTTTACGATGATATATCTTCTATTTTATGATTGAGGTTTCTATTAAAAAGATCTGGTTTGTAACAAGGATGTCCACTCATATCTTACAAGAAATAGATACAATGAACATTTAAGTAGCAATAGATTGAGTAAAACTAATAACTGTTTTCCTGTTGCAGGCATAAAGTTTTACAATGCTCTCCCGGAAAGTGTTCGGTCATTGCGGGAGTCAAAATTTACAGAAATTGTAAAAGATTGGCTCGAAACGAATCCTTTTTATGAATCTGTTGAATTTTATGATGCTCTGAAGGCTGGCTATTGTTTTAATTTGTAATTTTTATTTTTATACTCAGGTATGTGTCACAATTTTCATGTTCTTTTGTTTTTTGCCATAACTGCATGGTTTGCTGTTTTTGTTTTGTTTGCTGTGAAGATTAACTAATTTCAGCATGGTTTGTAATGGTGAACATTTCATTATTTATATGCATTGGTTTGTTTATTTTTAGCATAGTTTTTGACGTTACCTATTGTATTTATTACCTACTTAATGGTACAATAAATCTCTTGAATCTCTATTATGGAGTGATTATCATTTATCCTGACAAATTATAAAAACAATCTATACACTAGCAAAAATCAAGAGGAAAGGACCTTTCCATAAAAGAACATTTTACACAGTTCAATGCATTTAATTTAATTAGTTGGTGGGTCAGTTGATGGACTGTGGAATCAAAGAAACTATGTTTTGGTTTTGCATCATAGTGGTGTTTATTTATTTATTTAAAAAAAATAAGAAAAGCAAAAAAGTAAGAAATTTGTTAGTTAACACTAAGACCTCATTTGGAGAAAATTTGATCAGTAAAAACAAAATGATTAAAAATACAAAATCAATGAAGGCCAACTGAACAGATACTTACCAAAGACAGTTGAAGGGGCGGCACAACCTCTTTGACAAATAGCTCTGCACTGTCTCTGCGGAGGTTAGGTTGGGGCGAGTCAACCTGCTCATACAGTCCCTTTTGCCAGCTGTCCGCTGTCAGGTGGTAGTACACGAGGAACCCTCCAGATGTCTGTATAGGGTAAATAAAAGTGTTTACTACAAATCAACGTTTTTAGATTAGGTTGGGGTGATTGCATCAGCTGATAGAGCTTCATATATAGCTATCTACAGTTAGGTGGTAGAACACGAGAAACCCTCCAGATGTCAGCACAGAGAGAATAAACGTATTAAATAGCTCTACGTGTATATGTTAGGTTGGTTTGGAGGGAGCCCACCTGCTTATAGAGCTTTTTCTTAACAGTAACAGTCAGGTGGTTGTACAGGAAAACCCCTCCAGATGATTTCACAGGGTAAATTTAAATGTAGTAACTAGCTCTGTCAGTAGGACTATAGGTTAAGTTTTTTTATTCTCCAATTTCAGTAAAGTTTGGCAAATCCAAAAATAATTAGATCAATAATGCTTATTGATTTGATAAGTTATTAGAAAGTAAGATAAGGTAAGGTAAAGTAGTAAGGTTAGGTATAAGTTGTATGTAATGAAGGCAAGAAACTACAAGGTCCATGAAAGTAGGCCTAGTAGAGTAATAATCATTTAACCTAAAAAAAAACTGTTGCAGCCTGGTTAATTGCCTTCACAGTAACATTAAAAATAATAAACAATATTAAATATGTATTATAGCCTAGTATTTATTTATATACCGTACCTAAATTTAAAAATTTTGAAATACAAATATAATAAAGAAAGACTCCCTACTATCCGAACTCCAACTATCCAAGAAGCCAATTATCCAGATCACTTTCAGAAATAAATAAAAAAAACTTAAAACCACATTGAAAAGAATCTTTATTGAAAAAGGAATATGCCAAGATTGCAGCAAAACCCTGAATATCTTCCGCAGTTGTGTAGACATCATCCTCTCCCTCTGCCACGAAAACATCATAGGCTAATCGTCTTCAGTAATCGCGGCAAAATCTGGAACATCTCCTGCAGTCAAGTGACATCAACATCGTCCCTCGAGGTCACAGAAACATCATCATTGTGCTCCAAAATTGCGTCAAAGGGGTGAATTTTTCAATTGCAAAATCTTTGCAGGCATGTCCTGCAATCGCGATAGTAAAAGATGGGCTCGACATGACCTATTTATAATTAAATATCTCAAATCTTTGTAAAAATCCAACTATCCAAATTGTTTACTATCGGAATGCCCTAACTTAATTGATTCTGACACTTGGAGTATTATCATTGATAGTCTACCACTAGACATTTCATCCTCATCTTAATGTTGTCGCAGGTCTTTTGATCAAAATCGTCGCAGTTAATGAGCCACTGACAGTTTGTGCTGATCTAAATTAGGCTACTGATTTCTGTCAAAATATATGAACTTTTTTACTAAGTCAGACAGATGGAATGGATTATTGTGAGTTATAGCAACTGTTATTACTCATTAATTTTATCAGCAACAAAAAATAAGGTACCGGTAGAATAGAAAATATAATTTTAGACACTAGCACATTCTGTGACTGGCTCACACAACTATGAACGACAAAAAATAAACGACAGCTGTTCCATTAAGATGGGATGTCTACTTCAGTATTTCATAGTCAATGGTTCTACTGCAATTAGGCCTACTAAGTATTACTGTAATATTAAAGTATCATTACTGTATTTATAGAATTACATGTGCAGGCCATAGTGGCTGCAGCGATAAGATTGTATAGGCGGTTGGTCTGAAAACTGCAAATTCAGGCACATCAGTCCAGGGTGCTATCACCGAGCAACCATGTACCGGTATGTGGTCAATTGGTTAATCGGTTGTAAAATAGGCCTAGTACTAATAGTGATGCTAAAAAAAATTACCAGCTCATATAGTCTCATAGGCCTATTTTGTTTTCTTATAAAAAAAGATCCTACTCACAGCAACAACCAGCATACTTGAGTCCGGCCTCCATTCTACAGACTCGTTCATTCCAATATCTTCCACAGACTCGTGAGACCGCCTGTGCAGTGTAATTGGAAGACATGGCTGAAAAATTATAGTTAAAGTTAATAAAATAATCGACTGATTAATTGGTTACAGTGCTCGACTTCAAATCTGAAGGGCTCCAATTCCAAAACATTCTACAACTTTTTTTCCAAAACACTTGCAGTACAATGGCATTTAACTTTTCAACTCACTTCCACTTTCTCTTAAGATAGTCAAACCTTTTTAAATTTTTAAATACCCCCGCCGCAGCAAACCTGCAGACTTAGCGAACTTCCATTTGCCTGATTGGATTCACACTAGAATGTCTCCTTAAAAATATCACATTTGTTCCCTATTCAAACAGAATTAGTTTAACGAGTACTTAGGTTTGCTGCAACAGGGAGGGTAAAAAAGTTTTTTTTTATGAAAAATGTTAAAAGGTAGGCCTACTGTAGTTTAGTAAGAAATTAATGTATTTTCCAAATTGTAGGTATCAAAATATGTTCATAAACAAGCAAACTACAACAGTTGACTTATTCTCCATAAGAATAACATGGGAATTTTAAAATTACAATTTTTTAAAATTTTATCCGTAACAATTAGGCGCATAATAACGCTTCAATATACTAAATTGTTTGTTTTTTTAAGCTATACAAAATGGTTTAGAAAGAAATTGTGAAATTTTGTGTTTTTAGGGTCAAATATGGGAAAAACCTATTTTTACCCCATAAAACCCCCCATAAACGCCCGTTCCAATAGTCCGATCATGCTGGTTCGCGAACTCATTCAAGTTTATCCCGCCTAACACCTTCAAACCAAATTTGATCAAAATCGGACAAAAATTACTCAAGTTATCGTGCGGATGGACACATATATATATCTATATAGATATATAAAAATTTGAACAAATGGTGTTTTTGGCTTCTGGGGACATCAAAATGAAAAGGTAAATCGGTCCCGGGCCTAGGTCTTTCCATGAGACCTACGGTAATAGCTACTTCCCTATAGGGAAATTCGCTAAAAACAATTAAAATCTCTTTTGACCAATTTTACCTCTTACAGCGTCCAGAAATTCTTAACTCACATCAACTCTAGGAATGCTATTGAAATATTAACCTTCCAGAGGTCGGATCACGGAAGTAGTAACCTCCAGGGATGTTTTATTTTTCACGATTGTATTATTTTGAGTGGTGTCGGCAGTGTGAGTTTCACTGTACCTCACGCACCTCATTCCTCGAATCGAGTGAAGGTCAAAACTCCCCCCTACTATTTTATATTTGTTAGTTTTGTAAGAGGCTGGAAGTTGCTTCCGTGTGCGCCCTGCTGATTCTCGTACAGCCTGGAGGCAACTTCCATTTGCGACCTCTAAGTTAGTGTGTGCGTTGATTATTGCTTGTAAATAATTACTGTAAATAATTAGTTTTTTACAATTCATGACATTATTTAGTAAATATATAGTTTTTAAACGATGAGTGATGAAGTTAAATTTTGAATTGCAACACTCTTAGCCAGCGCTGAAAGGGAGATTTACGAACGACGTATGTACAGAGTAATTTAGTATTAAGATACCCATTATGTTAAATTACTTAAAACATCGGTATTGTGAGTGTTATCATCTAGAACCACATTATAGGACATTGTGGTGAAAGTTAAAATTAACTTCTTGAATATATTCTTGTAAAAGATTTCTTCATATAGGTACTTTTATGTTAGAACATTTGATAGAATAATAGTTTAATTTTAGGTATATTTATAAAATCTATAGGCCTAAGTTATTTTATAATTAAGAGTTCACTAAACACATTTTTGATGTTAAAAATTAAAAATAAAACGTAATTTGTGCACTAAAATACAAATTTCACTTCATAAATGTTTGTTTTTATTGACCTGGAAGTAACTCCAGGTGCGCCCTCTCCCGTTTTGAAAACCAATGCGCCCTCTGAAAGGTTAATTTATAAGACTAACTTATGCTATTATTTCTAAGTATTATGTAAGCTATTTTGTAAAAAACCTATATTTTTAAGTACCGGTAGCCTATCATGTAAGGCATGTTATATAATAATGTTACAACTTGGCTAATGCAACTTGTTTTGTTAATTCCGGCTAACTAACTTAAATAACTTAATTTGATTTGAGATAGTTACCTAACAAGACCAGGGTTTTGGACTGTTCCCTTTTAAAACGTAACAATGCCATTGGCGTAGAAAACACACGAATAAAAATCCATAAAAAGTAGCTTAACGGAACAGTGTCCTTATTTTGTGACTTGATCTTTTAGAGATGTAGGCTAACTAAGCTCAGCTTTATTTTATTGGGTTTCATAGGACTTTCCTTAACTTGAGAAAATCATGTAAGACTAGGGATTTAGGGCTAGAGTTAACATATTTTTAAAACTTAGCCTTATAACTCATTTGTATAGCCTAGCCTAGTTTATAAGTATAGGATACTCCTCAAGTACAGAATTCAATTTTTAGGAGTCGAGTATTATCTGTTTGTTTCACAAGCCTAGGGATGGATGTATTTTGGGAAATTTTAAGTTCCACAACAACCGTTCCTCCTCCTTTTAACAATTCACTACAATTTATAAGCTTAAAAGTTAAAAGCCATCTTTTTAAGAAACCTATTGCCTTAACGAGTAAGGCTTGAAACTAGGCGTTGAGGCTATATTTTTCAACTAAGTCTTACCGGTACACCAACTAAATAACAAATCTGATGTTTACGCTACAAAAATAGGGTAAAAACTGTGGAACTGGGAATCAATTGAAAACAGTACCGTAACTTATAACTTACTAGAGTTGTCACATTCCAAAAGCGATAACTGCTAGTTCGAACAAAGGCCTAGGCTAGCCTAGCTGTCAACAAATAACTTATGTGATGTAAATAATGATAAATTTTGTGGGCTTAGGCACAAGCTTCAATAAATAGGTGTACAGTAAGATTATTTCTCCTACTTTATGTTGTCTTTTAGGTCTAAGCCTATTGCTAACTATAATTTGCCTAGGCCTACTCATGTTTTTTTTCTTTCAGCTTTTTAAGACATGGAAACTGTGTTGGCTTATGTGGCCTACCTAAGTTAGTTAGGTAAGGAAAATCTTAATGAGAGGGGTGATGGGTTAACACAATGAAAAGATTAGCCATGGTACGCTTTTGCTTTGACATTAACTTGGTATAGTTAATAATATTAGCCAAATTAGCCATGACTAGGCTTAGCTTACCTTGCAAAAAAATATTGACAAAGTGTCATCTGACAGAATGGCAAAGTAGGTTTTGTCCCTGTTACATATTACTTGACGAATTGAGCAGTTATTTAAATGTGGCAAATTTAGTACTTTAGGCCATCCTAAAGCAAAATACATTTTGAATTTACAAAATTAAATTAAATTACGAGAAATAACACTGACACTTTCATCACAAGATTGTTTGGGTTTGGTTTTGGTTAACTAAATTAAGTGACACTTCGACTTCCCACTCCTTCACAGCAGCTTGGGAGACATGGCCAAAATCATATGTTTCAATAAAAAAAATATTTCCTGTCTGTAGTCTGTCACAGAGGTGAAGTTTCACATCCGTTTCAATCGCGGATTACTCCTCTCCAATGCGCATGCGCAAACAAACTGTTCCATGGGACTATGGGAGCTGTAACAAGTGACACGCGTTCGATGACGATGGAAGGAACGGATACTGCAACCGGTTAACCTCACTTTGTTCTCCCAGTCAAACAAAGCCAACGCCAACTCACTCAACTAGGGTTCACCCATGGTGGAAGGAAAAAACAGGGTTCACCTATATAGATCCTATATACTAGATACCGTAATGTGGAATTTAGGTTATTATTTTCCTTAGTTGTAAAATTTCTATACATTTTTATTTCTACTTTTAACCTAACCAACCCATATTAGTACATTGATGATGACACAGGTAAGGTAATATTGAAAATCCAATCCAATCCAATTCCACTCGCGGCCATTTGGATACATAAGAAGATAACTTAGATGCAGTAAAATGGTAAACATATACGTATATATGTATATTCTGAAATTAACATTGACAGCTAGACTGAAACCGTCCGTTAGATCAGGCCAACTTCATCTCTGTCCTCTGTGTTACAAATTTACAAAATAAAGGAACCTAACTTAACTTCTCACATTCCTTTTATTATTCCAAACGCTTTATTCCATTACAGTCAATGTCACTACATTTGTTAAACAAGAGTTTAATTTATAACTTTATGCAGGCCTGACCCGAACATACAGTGTCGAGCGATCAAGTAGGCTACTTAGTTTCAGCACAAACTATAAAATAAGTATCAATAATTTGTAAATATTTAACTGGCATAACTAACATAATATTAGTGTAGATATTTTGAGATAGGTCTAGGCTAGCTTGGTATACGCCTAATAATCTATTAATATTCAAGTTTAATTTACAAATTATGTTTCTAGCTTTAAAGTATGTTACTTTCAAGTTTTTATTGATACCTAGATCCATAATTTTTTATTGTGATATCACAGATATAGTACTTTAATGGTGATATAGCTGACTCAGAACATGGCGTGGTGATCTAAAATGCAGTAAGATTCTTTCAAACCAAAAGGCAGCAATTTAGGATAGTAAGTCAATATTATAAAATTACCGTGAAGTGAGGGGGTGGACTTGCACATGAGATCCTAAAATAATAAACCAACATATAAGCAAGAACCAGAAAGTATACTAAAGTAAAAACAAAGCGCAGACTAGTTGGTAAAAGTAAAGGAACAACCGTGCTATATTCAATTCATTGTACTGTGTGAGTGAGACTGTACACGTTGTAGCAGATAAATCTGATATCTGATATATGTCACAGTTCCACGGAACGGTTTACTCACGCATGCGCAGTATGAGAGGAGTAATCCGCGATTGAAACGGATGTGAAGTTTCTTTCTTTCTCGTTCGCTTATGAAAAGCAGGCTTGGTTACACTACCATGCAGCCACATAGGAGTTTTTGTTATGACGGCTGACGATTCTATCACGGCCCCCCTTTAACTCAAGGCCACGGCCTTCGAAGTGGCAACATCGCAAGTAGGGTTGTAACAGCTGTTTTTTTGATGCGGCTAATGGTATTTGGGTACATATTTTAAGAATACGAAAGCTCGGTTACTGGGCTATGAAAATATTGGATTCATTTTAAATGTACAAAAATAGATTTTCAATTTAAATATGGTTTTGTTTTTAAATTCTATATGTTTTATTTTTAATATATTAATAATTTTATGTTCCTAAATTTTAATTAATAATACGCGAATTAAGCTGGTGTCACCTGTCTGTCATGTTATCTTATGGGATGTCTGGCGCTAGACAACACCACTTGCAACGTTTTCCAATTCTACCAGGCCGCGGTCGGGAGTTAAAGCATAGATAAAAAATACTCCACAAGGACCTCAGACTGGGACGGGTGGTGTCGTCCTGTAATCTAGCTACTAGGAGGTCACGGATTGTGGATATTTATAGGCTAGCACTATGGATGGGATACTCCCTGGTGTGGATTAACGTCCGCACTAGTGAGTATTACGACTATCCGCAGTACTATCCTGATAATTAGACCTATTCGTATATACCAAGGAAATATGTGGTTCGGATTCCACTATAAACTGTCCCTTAGTTGTCATTAGCTGTTTGGGCTATTAATTAACAGCTGTGTCTAAGGTATGTCGGCCTTAGTCACTAACAAGACTACAAGATCGCGCCACTCATCCTACACTCATCTCCATTCATACTTGGCTTAAAATACCTACATTGTATGGTCGCCATTTCAAAAGAAAGTATTAAGTATTAAAGTAAAAGTATACACGGCCGACTTTAACTCCAGGCCGCGGCCTTTGAAGTGGCGAAGTTGCAAGTAGGGTTGTAACAGCTGTTTTGCTTGGAAGCAGCTAATGGTTTTGTATATTTACGAAAGCTTGGTTAGTGGACTATGAAAATATTGACTCCGATATAAATGTACAGATATTGATTTTCAATTCATATTCTTTAGGTTTTCAATTCTGTATGTTTTATTTCAATATTTTAATAAATTGAAGTTCATAAATTCAAGAGTGAAAATTTAAAAACGTACGTTTTCAGGAAAAGCACTTTGCAAATTTTTGTCCCCTTTTTCAAAACTTTTATTATTTTTTTTTATTTCATTAACATTTGAAGTTTCATAAAATGTCCATGGTAACGCAATATCTTTGGTAGTTTTCTTTTTAAAGAGCATCTTTAGTAGAAAAACACAAAATCCTGTCACGACCATAACGGACATTTAAATGAATATTAAAAATAGTTAATATTATTTTTATAACTATGTTTTGCTATAAACTAATTTACTTTAGTGACCATTATACAATAAAAAGGTCACTGAGCTTTTGGTATATTTGGTATTTCAAGAAAAAAATAAAAAAAACTCAAAAAATATAAAAAAGTCAATAAAATCTTTTTAAGTTTGTATAACTCCGAAAAAACTTACCTGAGACCCGAAAAATCGTTATGTTTGTATAGAGGTGTGCTTCTTTTGTGTATAAAACATTGAAATATGACGATATTTTAATTTTTGAAATTTTTATGATAGAAATCATAAACGTGATGGTCAGGGACAAGCGGTACGGTCGTGAATTGTCTGGAATAATCTAAATCTTTCTAAACAATCCTTCAATTATACTGTTAGTTATAATAAAACTATGTGTTTCAATTGAACTAAACTATTCAATTTACAATTATATTAAAGTTATTGTCACGACCAAACACACTATAATCCATAAAGGTGGATTGGTCGTGAAAAAAACCGCGATGGTCGTGAAACTTTGGTCGTGATTTTTGGTGAAATTACGTGTTATTTGGCTCTGTTCTGGCGGTAGCCCTGCACCTCATGTTCGAGGATACAAAGTGGACTTCTAGGTTAATCTAGCAATTGAAATATCTTATAAACAAAAATTAACACCATGTCTACTTCATCGAATGACTACGTACGGTCATGGACACACCAAAATTACAAAAAACACAATCTTTCCTTTATTAATCTTGTAATTCCTCCTTTCAACTCAAAACGACCGGCACTACAATCCTGACGTACACCCCGAACTAGTCTCTAAAACCAACTGACTCCATCAACGCCAGGCTTGCCACTGTCGTGCTCCAAAGTTCAAAATTTTTCCCAAATGGTCGTGACACCAAATCGAGGGACAGACTTATTTTGTCATGGTAGTCAGTCTGCAATGACAATAAAATTATAATATGCTCCTTTTTTGTAAGTTTAATAACCATTGATGATATAAAAATATGGCTTTATATATTTCGGCATGAATAATTAGTCTAAAAACAGCGTGGAAGTTGGAAAATGTACCCTAGGGACACGTCATGGTCGTGAATTTCGAGACTTTAAAAATACGAAAAAAATACCAAGAACCTATTTAAAACCAAATAAATGTGTGTAACATGTTGCCCCCGTCCCAAAAAATATTAAAACACATAATAATAAACTACAAATCCAGTATCTACGAAGTAAAAGGCCAGGGACATGAAAACGTACGTTTTTAAATTTTCACTCTCAAATTTAAAACAATAATGTGCGAATAATTATTTCCCTATAAAAAAAGTTTCCTGCACAACTTTACGTTACGCTCTTTCCAACTACACCAAAAACATGCCAATCGGTTCAGTAGTTTCGGAGGAGAAATTGTCACAAAAAATCTGCTTGCGTAGTCATAGCTATTTACATTACAAGTGTAGTAAGAGCATTTTTACTTCACGCAGGTGAATGTTTGTGCAACGAGCGGAAGCGAGTTGCATAATTCACCTGTGATGTAAACAGCACGCTCTTGCGTAACGTGTAACGTACAAGATTTTACCTGACCCGACAATAAACATGGGTTTACGTACAATATTTTTCATTATCCATTTCACTCATCTTCTATCAGTAACGTTCTTTTACTAACAAAAGCTAGGTTAGGTAGGAAAATACTTTAAAGCATAATAATAACATTCAAGCGCACAGCTGATTTCTAGCGTTGAACATCGTTGGCTCCATAGAGTTATATTTTTTAAGTTAAGCACTCAATGTTATTTAAATGGGTTTCTTTACATCACCGAGTGAGTTTTTGATACTTTACATCACTCGAGAAGTAAGGAAGTTGTATACATCACGCTTGGGATAGGGAAGTTTAACATGGCGGGTTAGGTAAATAAATATAGATAAGATTAGTTTAACGAGTACTTAGGTTTTTTGCAACAGTGAGGGTAAAAAGGTGGGGTTTTTTTTTGTTAATAGTTTAGTAAGAAATTAATCTATTTTCGAAATTCGATCAAAATATGTTGATAAACAAGCAAACTACAACAGTTGACTTATTCTCCATACTAACATGGGGATTTTAAATTTAAAATTTTTTTGTTTTCTCTGTAACCATTAGGCGCAAACTAAACTTATGCTTCAACCCTATTTTTACCCTATAAAC